TATACCTTCACTATTATCATAAATGTCCTTTGCAATGTTCAACATCAAAATTTAATAAAAACATTTGGGGCCTTTTTTCTTTGAAGAATTTGAAAATGTCCCAGGTGATGCATGTAAAGTGCCCTCCAGAATTAAAATATTGTTCTCAAATCCCAAGGCCCGCGACATCAGCTAGAAAGAAGGAGAAAATGGGCTGGACGACTAATGCGCTAGCCTTTTGCACAGACGTACAGATAGACACACGGATGGACGGACGGACGGATGGACGGTCGGACAGACGGACGGACGGACAGACGGATGGACAGACGGACCGACGGACAGACGGACGGACAGACGAACGGACGGACAGACGGACGGACAGACGGACGGACAGACGGACGGACAGACAGATGGACAGACAGACGGACAGACAGACGGACAGACAGACGGACAGACAGACGGACAGACAGACGGACAGACAGACGGAGGTCAGACAGGCAGACATTTTTCCGTCAATCATTTTTTCGGTATGACGGTATCACTAAACAGTATCACTATCACATTTTTCGGTATCACTAAACAGAGATTCTGGCTACACCACGTGATAGAGGAATTTTTTCCCCTAAATTTAGGAACTGAATTTATCCACTTTTTCCTTACCAAGGCCTGGCAAGAAGAGTTTGTATTGAAAATTTGCTGTTTTCTGGCGCACGAGTACAATTCTTTCTCTTCTTACGTTAGTAAGTGCGAAAAAGTAATACGTCAGGAAAGTAATTATTTTGTGAATATATTACGGTTTATGGTTGTAAAGCATAGCCTATAGCTCTCCTGACCTTCAAAAGAAGCTAGCACAAAGTTTTATCGCTATTTGTCCGGTACATTAAGATAGAATCGCGTTGTAACGCAAAGCCCTTGTGTCTTTATATATTAGTATAGATTAATAATTATGATTGATGAAAATCAATAGAATAAAACGTTTTGTTTTTTTTTCAATAAAGCTATCCAGATGTCATGTTTTATACATACAACTTTTTGATGGCATCCAAAACAAACTAATACACTGTCGGAATCCAGCGTCACTATTCCAACAAACAAAAGTAATGTTTCTGTATTGCAGGAATGAGACAACTAAAGGTACTACAATAACACATACGTTGTCGCATCATTGAAAAAAGTTACGTTCCTATTATTGAAATATTGTTTTAAAAAATCCTTACTTCTTGTTTAAAATTTAAAAATTGCGTATGGTTGATGCAAAATTACACAGAAAATATTTACATTTTCGAACAATTGAACATGACCTTATTTAAAGACTTATTTCTGTTTAACATATTTCGTTAAGAAAAAATATTTTCGTAATTGTAGTTTGAAGAAGTCGCCGAAAAAGAACTGAATTTTTACAATTTTCGAAAAATCAGGGATTTCAAAGAAAATGAGACCTACACAATTTTCTTAAGCGTACTTTACGCTATCCGAGATGAAAATTTAATCAAAAAATTTGGTACCTCTTTTTATTTTAAAAAATCCCTGGGGATTCATGTAAAGTATCCCTCCTCCCCACCCCCAACAAAAATTTAAAATGGTTTAAATTGTAAGTGGCAACGACATCAGTCAGATCGATTGGGAAATATCCCAATCGAAAAATATGGTGAAAATCCTGCTTACGATGTAGCCGCTAGCGTAGTTCACAGACGGACGGGCGGACGGGCTGACGGACGGGCGGGCGGGCGGACGTTTTGCCGTCAATCGATTTTTCGGTATCAAGGACCCACAAAACATCGATTTTTCACTATAATACACGTGTTAGAGGATTTAATTTATTAAAAGGTGTATGAATAAGTTCTCGCTGTTTCGTAACAGGTGACGTAATCAGGACTACCTGCAGGTAATTTCCGATGCGAATGCAATTACAAGAAAGTACTCATGACGGTAAGCTTGAACGTCAGTGTGGCTTTGTTCGCCACAGTGAAAACATTTTGTTCCTGAGTGGTACACATATCGAATTTTGTGCCAGGAAAAGAGTATTTGCGGGAAATTTTATTGTTATTTTTCAGCTGAAGAACACATAATTCTTGTTGAGACTTACGTGAACACGCTCAGTCGAAATCGACATGCAGAGCCTGATTTCGCCCTTCAGAAATAATGATTTTGATCTGGGAGATAAAGAACGCGCTGGCGCACCGAAAAAGTTTAAAGAACAATTGGAGGCATTACTTAATGAAGACTCATGTTAGACGCTAGCTGACATCGCAAAATCGTTTGAAAGCATTAAGAATAATCCAAAAGCAAGGGTATTGAGTGCCGTATGAGTTGAAATCGAGAGATGCAGACCGGCGGTATCACACTGTGAACTACCGCTTCAACGCCAGAAAAAAATGTTTTTTGCGTTGTATCTTGAATACAATGATGAAAAGTGAATTGAGTACGATAATCATAATCGTAAAAGATCGTGGGGTAAGCCCGGCCACGCATCGACATCAAAGCCAAATACCCATGGTTCGACGCTTCTTCTCTACATTTGATGGGATCAGCTGAGTGTGATTTATTACGAGCTTCTTAAACCAAACGAAACTATCATGAAAGATCGCTACCGACTGTAATTGATGCGTTTGAGCCGAGCCGTAAAGGATAAACAACCGCTATGCGAGCAGAGACACAAGGTAATTTTGTAACACGACAACGCTCGGCCACAAGTTTAATGCAGGTGAAAATCTACTTGAAAACGCTTAAATAGAAAGTTCTACCCCACCCGCTGTATTCATCAGACATCCCCCTTCAGATTATCGCATATACCTAATACGTTCGATGGCACGTGGCCTGGCGGAGCAGCGCTTCCATGCTTATAAAGATAACAAAAAGTGGGTTGAATCTTAGCCTCAAAAGACCTATCGTTTTTCCGACGTGGAATTCATTTTCTGCCAGATAGGCAAAAGTAGTGGCTAGTGATGGGCTATACTTTGAGTGACATGTGTACCACATACTGTAACCTAAGCATTAATTTTCACACAAAAAACAGCGGGAACTTATTCAAGTACCTTTTAATATATTGGGACAAGATTTATCCACTTTTTTGTTACCAAAGCCCAGCAAAAATAGTTTTTTGTGTACCAGCATTTCAAGCGACGTATTCTGTTGCAAGAAATCGTTCATAACCAGGCATTTTACAGCACAAATGATGACGTATTGTATTAGATCTTACGACACAAATGATTGCGACACCACACATTCAGCCAGCGGAAAAAAGAGGGGAAGGGGTTAGAGGTAAACGAAACTGCCGGCCGACCAGTTTTCCCGCGCAGTAGTCAAAAACCCGAGACGTCACAAGAAAGTTACTTCGCAAGTGTTTGTTTCTCTTAAAAATTTGTAATGCTGTTGTACAAAAAGGGCGTATGTAACTCGTTTATAATGTTCTGTATTACATTCGTACAAAATTGAAAACTCGCTCTTAACTTCGCTTGTTTTCATGTAATAGCAAGTACCAAGCAACAAGTACTCGTGCAATAAAGCTTAACATTATAGATTAACTGCATAAACTATTATTTCGGTCGAAAATTCGTAGCAAAACATAATTGGCGACTATGCATGGTGTTCAGAAATGTACTTGAAGGTGCTTTATAGTGTTACATTTGTCTTTAATCGTTTTACTCAACGAAAATATAGGTTTTCAACTCATATATATATATATATATATATATATATATATATATATATATATATGACACCCATTTTATTCTCCCTTTGTGATCCCAATGTAAGTCCTAGTGTGTAAGCCAGGGGGTGTTAACAATGACCTGATGTCATCGGCCACTATAGAAAAATCGAAGTACAGCAATACTTATTACACATTAGTTCTTCTTGCAAAATACCTCCTTCGAAAAGAAACGGATTAGCAGGGTCATTGAAAAAGTGCAGAAAGCATCTTCCACCTACTACTGAAAACAGTAAAAAAGGGGGAAATGATAGAATAGATATTAAAGTTCAAAAACGGACGGTCAAGAGAAAAATATATTTTCTGTTGACAAAACACGTTTTAGATACTGAGCCATTTGGCAAGAAAGACTGAACTGAGACTGAAAAAGTGAAATCTGCATTGATTGTCCAAGTACAAGGGAAAACAAGAAGTAAACATTTCTGACCAAATTGCTAGTTACTTTTTGCCATTAGGAATTCGCTATTCAATGCCATTCAATGATGCTGTTTGAATTTCTTTTGAACTGGCAGGTAGTAAATGCATCAATACTATTTAGGAAACTAGCTGTAAAGAAAATGCAAAGAAGCTCTTCAGGGCAGAAATTATAGAATATTCTGGTCTGTGGTACAATGTCTGGTTTGCTTGAAGTTTCAGTTGGACAAGATTTATTACATGTAGGCTTATCTACAATCCATGGAAGATCACTAAGATCTCACAATTGAATGCCAGAAAATAGACAAAGCCACTGACAGATACTTACAGAAGAAAATGTCAAGAGAAGTATAAAAATGTGAAATTGATGCCAGGAGTGTTATCATTGTTAAAACATATGAACTATGAAGGTCAACAAATTTGAAAAAAGTGAAGAAAATTGTTAGGGTTTGTCAGACTTGCAACATATGGCTCTGCTCATTTTGTAATTCTCAAGCTCATTAATTGTTGTCTCCCATAATTCTACTAGTCTTGTCACTATAGGTATATTGTATCTATGTTCATGTTTGTCTTAATTTATCATTTATTATAATGGCATATTTGGTTTAGGACGCATTTTCTGATATAATTGAGCTGTGATAGCCAGTGGAAATCAGCTGCCACAGCTCAAGGCACCCAGATGAATTAAGTTCCACCCAGACACCACGTATCCACTAACATCCTCAATTTATTTTTTCAAAATATTGCAACTCGCACACATCACTTGAAAGCTCAATAAAATAACTTCATGTAGTTATGTTTTCAAGAATTCTTATATTTTATTTGAGTCCTATAGTAAGCCATCTGCCAAAATGTCCGATGGCAATCAACATGTTAAAATCATGGTTTGTTTTTCAGAAATAATGGTTTTGCAATTGTTGATCAGTTAGGTTCAGATGTCATTTCAAAGTCTGTTAAAAATATACAGTATTTTATTTCAGTCTGAAAATATACTTGAAACCTCCAAAGAATAAACATTATTTTTCTTCCACTTGTCTTAATAATAAATCTTCCAAGTATCATGAATAGCCATTCGAGTTATGATGTCTTCTGTATTAGATACATAACTCATCATAAACAGGTGTTTTAGAAGTATACAACACACAACGAAAAATGTTATCTACATCACAAATCTACAATTGAATATAAGGAATTTAATGTTTTTAAAATATTATCTTCTTTACAGCAATCTCATGAAATTTCATTTACATTTTTCTCCTTACTCATTTTTATGACTTAACTTCCTTTATCTGATCCCCCATTGAGTTTTTAAACACTAATCATGATTTCTTTAAAGGATAATTTAAAAATGGTAATGCCTTGTGTCCATAACAAATCATTCTATTGTCTATTGATAGAATTGTGTAATGTTCACCTGCTTGATTTTTTTTCACTGTTTTTAATTATTAATTTTGCATAATATTTAATTTTTTATTAATGTTATTAAATGCTCTTTTTTATGTGTGCACACTTAAAAGCATGAACAAAGCAATCAGTTGTCATAAACGAATGGTTTTCAAAAAGTAACTGATAAACCACAAAATTAACCAATCACCATGATGATTTATACGTGTGTTTAATACATACATCATAATAATTCTTCATAAATAAGTAAGCTCTACTAAAAAATTTAAGTTTTCTTTGTGATTTAAAGTGAATAAAAAATATTTTTTTGTCTTTCTTTTGATAATCATTTATGTTACATTAATTATATGGGGATTGTGTCCTAATGATGAAGTACACATACCATTAGTATAAAATGCAGAACATAATGCATTAAGAAAATCTTTGCCAAAAGGGAGGTGAACATGTGAAAAGAAAAGTATTACTATGATTGCCACAATCACTGAAGCTTCCAGCATTGTTGCTAATAGCAGCTATAAACAAATGCATTGCACACACTTTCTAGTGAACTTCCAGGAACAGTTTTGGACTGTAATTGCTCAAACTGTAATGAGCCTATTGGAATCAACTGAAACACATTTAGTAGGAAAATTTACAAGCTTTAAGAAGCTTGTAATGAATTTTAATAGATTTAATCTCCCTTTTCAAAATATTCACAAACATCAGAAAGAGAGCACACTTAAATTGTCTTATAAGGTATGGTAAATGAGTAAGGTAATACTTTTCTTTACATGAGTTCACCTTGCTTTTAATAAGAATTATCCCAGAGATAGGGGGGCTGACTCTCATTTTGATCTTAATTGGCATTGAAACTAACTGAAAAGCAATAATTTAACTGCCCGTAGATTGCTTCAAATGTTGTGTATCTGCCTCCCGAATTGAGATGAGCATCTGTACACCAAACCATAAACCTCTGTAGATTGTTCAACGTGAATTGCCTGGTTAAGATAATGCATTTCATTTGTTCCTGCATGTTTCTGGTTACAAACAACCTCACTTGCCCATGTAGTACAAACTCAGTTCAGTATCACCAGTTGTTAACACATGAACATACACTACTATAATATATATATATATATTATATATATTATAATAATATATATAATATATATAATATTATATATATATATATATATATATATATATAAATATTATATATATATATATATATTTTACACTGTTCCGAAATAATAAACCAAACTGTAGTCAGTCTCCTATCCTACATATATTATTGACTAATTTTCATAAAAACATTTTGTGATTTACATTGAATTTAACAAGAAAGGAAGACCCTGTACACTTAATAGAGGATTGGTTTATTTTGTAATTTACCAGTCACTTTTTGAAAACAAACTAATTATGTATTATTTATCAAAAATATGAGATAAAGCAGTTATTTGATGAATGTATTGTAATGAAAAAATATAATATCTTATTATAAAATACATCAACAAAAGTACACATAGTTGTAGGTAATCATTTTAGTTCATCAGTAAAGTAAATATTCAAATATAGATGCAGAAAAAAAAAGAATTATTATGTAATGTTTGCAGACTTTTTATTGATCAATGTTAACATATATATATTTAATATTCATTTATGTTAAATTTCTATTAAGTATAACATTTATGAAAGAATATGTTTTTCAGTAATTCCTTAACTTTTTCACTCCGTTTGAATATGCTGTACTTCTCACCATTATTGCCAATTGCGTGGTGTTGGCCCTTGAAGAGCATTTGCCTTGTAAAGACAAGACGATATTGGCTCAGAAACTGGTAGGTGTTCCCCTGCTTTTACTTATCAAATAACATCTCTTTTATTAGCTCAAAAGTTCATATTTTTAACTTTTTTTTTTCCCCCTTGTAAGAAAAGATATTTATCATTGTCAGTTATTTTAACATTAAAAAAATTCTTCTAGGAAAAAACGGAGGCCTACTTCCTGGGTATTTTCTGTGTAGAAGCATCCCTCAAGATTCTAGCTCTAGGTTTTGTACTTCATCCTAAATCGTATCTCCGAAATATTTGGAACATGATGGATTTTGTTGTAGTAGTCACAGGGTAAGTAATTTTAAACATATTTTTTCCATGATTGGTAATTATGATTTTTAATTGAGTTTTCTCTTTTTTTGAATGAAATATTGAAAAAAAATCTCAGCAATTAGTTTCACTAGCACTTATGGTTTATAACCTAGCACTACAGTTTTGTATGTGTACACCTAAAAATTTACTGTTGTAGTGTATTGTATTATGTTTATTTTCAAACTGATAATGCTTTCAACGAGAACTTATTGCTCCTTGTGTTCTGTTTCACTTTCCCATCTCTAATATCATAAGCCAGTATCTAGGATGGTGTAAGATGATCCATAAATCAAAATTCTTTTTGAAATGCCATTTTCTTATTTACAGCAAAATGCATCTGCTTAATGTTTGCCTTATTTTTCATTCAGTAGGCTCAGTGTTCCCACAACGCAGTACAAAGAAACTGGACTGGTTGGTGTTTGCTTTCAATTCTTCTTAATTTATTGTGATAATGCATACTTCAAACTACAGGCATGGGAGTGAGCACAATTTATTGAACTATTTGGCAGTCGTGACTTGATCAGACTATTGCGACCAGACTGTTTGAACAGTGATCAGATACTTCCTTTATAAAAGTAGATATAGATGTAGTTATAGTGGTAGCAGTAGCACTGTTTGGTACATCTGCTGATATTTTGTCATTGCTTGTCCTAATAATTGCTTATTCCCAAATTATTAGTCTGTTCCTGTAATATTTTATTTCAGTGATGTGTGAGTGAGTGCATATTTAAGTGTGTGTGATATTTATCTTGTATTTCTTGTGTGTTCATGTTTATGAAATCAAAAACAGTTGTTTAAGGTGTATTCAATTTGTGTCTACTATTCCATTTTAGAATTTAATACTTAAGTATATTAATGTTTCATATTAACTTGTTTTTAACTCTGAAGGCAGCGAATATTTAATACACATTATACTTTTGAAAAATATAGTAATTGGTATGCTTGTTTCTTGTTAAGTTTTTTTTTTAGTACAGCATTTATATTTAGACCAGTGGATAACTTCTATATTATTTATTTTTGTTGTTGTTGTTGTTGTTGTTTTTTGTTTACTTGCTGTTTTTGTTATAAATAGTACTTTAACTTTACTTTTGTTATACATTTCTAGCTGTGTATTTGACAGCAGGACTTTTTTTTTACTTTAAATTTTTGACTTATTTGATACACTTCCTGAAGAGTTATTGAATTAGGATATAGAACCATCAATCTCTGAGTAAGTATATTAAATCATATCTAAGGTTTATGACCTAGTATAATTTAAGAATGAGCTTCTTACTATTTAAATGAAAGAAAGAAAAAACTGTCATGGTGTCACTGTCTCTTCGGCACCTGTGTCAGATATCTCGGGGTGTTTTTAGGTCGATGACCATATTTGCGGAATCAAATGTGGATGTGGATTTGCGGATGCTCCGATCTTTCCGTGTGTTGAGGCCACTGAAACTGGTCTCAAGAATCCCAAGTAAGTTGGTAGCCGCTTGAGCAACAAGCATACCAACTTCACCATCATACTTGAATCTCCTTCTAGACAAATTACTTGTAGTGTTCTCTCTCTTTATATTATTACCACATGTTAGTGTTGCTGGAATGATGTTTCCACACATCTAGGTGCAGGCCGAGTGTTTTATCCTTAGTTTTAGTCTCCATTGTTTCTGCTAGAGATTGATTTATGGCATGCCCATAAATGTTGTTCATGCTGCCTAGTTGTTTTTATAAGGAGTCTTCATTAGTTCTAGTTGCAGAGTAGATGCATCTGTATAAATGTTATTTAGAATATCAGTTCAGTGTATTTCAGACTAAATGATTAACTAGAAATGGAATTAATGGGTGGTACATCCCTGGACAAAACTTTGACTGTGTTCTCTTTTCCACCATTAACTTTTTAAGAGACCTATCCTAATACCTATATAAAAATAATACAACATGGAGGGGCATATTTAAAAAAATTAAATAACAGCATTTGTGGTATACTTACAGTTAGATTGTGATTGAATAATAATAATCATATGCATAATTTAAAGATTAATAAAATGAAGAATTGCAATTTTTACTCATTTATATAAATTACATCTCAGTTAGATTTATATAAATGAAAGGATCCTCTGAATAATTTAATCATTAGTACAGATGCAGTTACATTTGAGAATTTTGATTTTTAATTACAATGATGTGGAATTTTCTTCCAGGAATCATAAGTAAAATAAATTATTTTCAAAGACAATATTGTAAATCATATATTGGTTGTAAATTCCAACTCTTCAGTCAATGTTGCAGCATAATGACCAATTATACTAATAAAATGTAGAACAAAGTAACAGTTCATTCTTGTAATACAAATTAACACTTTCATTTCTTGACTCTTCCAATGGTTTTGAATACTGACTATGACTTCCCTACACTACAGATTTTTATTCTGTATTTTTCTGCCTACATGTAATTCTTCTTTCTGATCGCGCATGTTTCTTCACCTGTATACCTAGCACTTCTATCTTGCATGTGTCACACTCCCAACTGCAAATTTGCAGCTTGTGGGGTTGTGTCCACTAAATTTGTATCTCATATCATATGAAAACCTGCCCTTGTGGAGACACTCAGTTGCATATTTAAGGTATAATCAATTAGAGTAATCAGAAAGCACTGCTCATACAAATTAACATATGGGACTTCAATGAAAATAAAATACTTACCTCTGCACTCTGGGACGTGTGCAATTAGTTATTCTATACTTAAATATGAAGATGCATGTGTGTAATCCATGAGAACTGGCTCACTGCTTCCATGTACAATACATGAAACTGCCATGAGCATTATTGATCTAGTCAAGAGACTAGTGAAAATAAGAGAGCTCTCAAAATTCCAGTAATAAATAAGCATTGAATTTGAAAACATTGATTTTTCGAGAGCATTTGCTATATTTTCAAAGCCAATGTTTAACATCTTCCTGCATTTATTACCTAACCCCAGTGGTCTATTAATACTTCCCTCCCTCTGCTGAAACCTTTGCATTTCTGTTTTTTGTATTTTGGCCTGTTATGTTTTCCTTTTGACCCATATTATATACCAATAAACTTAAAAATACTTGGTAACAGTTTTTAAGAACATTTAAGGCTGAAGTTGTACTTAGATAAAATTACAGAGCATGTCAATGAGAGAATAAGTTCCTGTAAAAAGAAGACTCTGAAGAGTTTTTCTAGACTTTTCTCCCCCTCCTTCCTTTCAATAAACTGGAAAGAATATAGGATATATGGATATGTTTTAAAGAGTATAATTAAAATATGATAAAAATCAAAATGTTCAGAAAAATGCATGATTCAAACTGGCACTGGCATATTTGTCAGTCAATAAAAAAGAGTTATATCAAGAGATTGAGTACATTTTAAAGAATTAACACAGTAGAGAAACATTTCTGACAACATTAGAAAGCAGCAGTGAAATTATATAATTAAATTATATAACAAACATTAAAATTAAGAAATCCTTTGGCATAGCAGTTTCCAATATGAAATGATATTTCTTAGAGAGATATTACAAAGATAATATGGTAAATGCTTACCAAAGCAAATGTAATTACAAATTTATTTTCTTTATGTAAACAGTAGAATTGTTTGTTTTTTTTCTTATTACAATCTTTTTGATTAGAAAGTTTTAATATTCAAAGTTAATTTTAGCAAACTAAATTCTTTCAAAGAATAGCAATTCTTTCAAAGAATTCATTATTTTCACTTTAATATCTCCTTTTATATATTAAAATATACCAAGGATGAATATTACAGTTTATTTTTCTAATCCTAAAAGATAATACATATGTTTCACAATGAATGAGTGAAAATAACATCAATAGGTCCCAAAATGTGGTAAACCTTTTTTCAATGTCTATCTTTAAAATTTAAAGTAGGTTTATTTAATATTAAGAATATAAGAATATTGATACAGAATTTACAATAGTTAGTAAAAAAGAAAATATTGTCTTGATTCTGACTTATTGGTTTTTACAATTTATATGTTAATAAAAAATTTCAAATTTATTTTGATAAAAATCGAGAATTCTTTAAACCTTCATTACACTTCATATTTTCCCAGCTTTACTATTTTTCTAAAAAAATATTATCTCCTCTTATTTTACTACATACAAAATTGTATACAAAATATCCTTTCATTATCATCTCTTTCTCTTCTGTCATCCTTTTTCTTACATTCTTAACATTTTTTTTTTTTTATTTTTACAAGATCCACATTACATTTTTTACACATTTCTATTAATAAAATGCACTGAAATTCACAGAATTTCTTCAAAAACTATGTTATATCAATAATATCTTAAGAATAAAATGAAAGTACAAAATATTGTAAGTGCAAATGAATACAGAATGTACAAACAGTATTTCAGTTTTGCGTAATTTTATTGATATGTAATTAGAGATCTGTAAAGCAGCCACAGTATCTATTTAATTTGATATTAAAATTCAATAGTAAAAATTAAAGAAATAATTTGGAAGGTCCCATTAAATTCATTCCCTTGTAACAAATTGGTACAATTCTGCATAGTGAATAGTTCATTCTAGATCTAGTCCATTGGGGATTTTTTAACTTTTTTGTCCTGGGATATGAAAGAGAACAACACAGGATTCCTGGCCATTGAGCAGCATTTGTGGACGTGCCTGTCTTTCGTTACTCATAACAGTGAGGTCCAATTGTTTTGCAGTGATGCTGTCTGCGTGCGTAGTGTTGTGTACTTAGCAGTTTGTGGCTGACCAAATGAAACTTAACTTTTAACTAGTCATGTAGCTGTGGATATTATACCATACAATACCAAACCAAACAAATTTTTATAATTACTTTCATGCAGTGAAAGTTACTTTGAGAATGTACATTTGTTTGGCATTATCAATGCAGGATTTTTAAACTAGGAGATAACTTTACAAATATATGACTTTCTGTCTGGGGTCAGAATATATATTTGATTCTCAGTTCCCATTGTATTTGACTGGAATGAAATCCTTTATTCTATTCCTTTCAAATCCCTTTGTATCATTTCAGAAAATGGATCATTCAATCCTCCCAATAAAAAGTTACTTGTTTTCTATTTACTAGTATATGACATTTGATAATTTAAGGTTTAAAAAGAATTTAAATAATCACTATTTTGGGTGTAAGAAATCTTGGGGTTGTGTTTACTTACTGAAGATTTTTCATGTGCTTACTATTATCTCTGTATTTGACATAATTTACTAGAGCTATCATTTCATTATTAGAACAAATCTTGAATTGTATGGTGAAAAAGAGTACACAAGTTTTTTTCAATATTCTGTAAATGTAGATTGTGTATTGTGTAGAATTTGTGGAACAAGTTAAGTGTTTGGTATTGGCTGGTTTTCCCAGTTTGGCTTCTGGTGTTTACTGTGTTGAGGTAATTGCTAATAGTTCGTCCAACCACACCACATTCTTCTAGGGTCTGGCTAGCTAGTTGCCTGCACTCACTTGTGAAACATTCATATTATTATTCATATTCCACAAATACTAAATATTTCTTACCACATGGAGTTGAAGTGAACTTTCTAAGTGTTTATTAGATTACTTTTAGCGTAATTATTAACAATTAGTTGAATTTTCCTCTTTTCAGGAGTTGCTATTTTACATTGGTATTGTTTCGGAGGCATGATGGCAGCTTTTAGTGTACCTGGAAGCGTGTTTTTATTATCTGCTAGTTTCTTATTCTAGAAACTTTTAGTCCTCTAGGAGGAGTAGAGAAATTATTTTGTAACCCAAATTGTCCAGTGCCAAACTAATCTTACTGTCCTCGTGATACAAATACTTCCTTGAATACTGTTGTGCAAAATCTCATTATTAGAAATGAGCATAAAAAGTATGTGATAATCAGTACTATGTTATTTCTATGGTTTGTGAGTATTAGAAAGTGTATTGTATGCTTTGACATATGATGTAATTATGAGCAGACCATACAATTGGCCAGTTAGAGGGGTTTGGCTTTAAAGCACTGATTTTAGGTACGGAGTTGGCAGCCATGAATGGAGTGTCTTAGTGCTAATTGTCAAAGGTAGTTAATCCTTGCTTAGTTTTGTTTTAGATTAGAAAATAAATAGTCATAGTCTAGATAATAAACCTAGATCTTAACTTCTTAGAAATGTATTTATTCATTTCTTTATTTACTTAATGGATTTTTTTCATTTTCTTAGAATTAGTGGTTGGTAGAGGTTTGTTTTGTAGTGATAGCAAGTAATTGCTTCCACAGGTTCATAACACTCATCCCTTTCAATAATATGGACATGGATCTCCGCACCTTGAGAGCCATTCGGGTCCTAAGACCTCTCAAACTGGTGTCGGGGATACCCAGTAAGTACACACTGTCTGTCTCTCCTAAGAAGAGGGTGCATGGAAATTGTTGAGGCATTTTATTGGGCTTTTACAGTTTCAGTGAAATTTCTTTAACCATGAAAGAAAAAAGAAAAAAAAAAAAGCTTCTGAATTCATGGATACTTGATTTTTTTAATATTGAAATGCTCTAAAACTTTTCAGTTTCCATTATTTTTTTCTGTTATCATTTTGTTTTAGTACTCAGATGTATGAGTATTAATGTGGGTGAGAAAGTTTGAGAGAAATGTTATCACATGTGGATGTAGAAGCCTCAAATGCACTCAGATTGTGTAGATAAATACATTTTCAAAGAACTGCACAATTCACATACAATTTTGCCTTGTTATAAACTAACAACATTTTGCATGTCGTCAATTATGGGTAGATTTCCACCTTCAATATAACGAAACATTAATATTATCTCATTTTTAATGTTCTGTACAGAGTATGTCTTGTGCTATTATTAAAACTGTTGTGTCAGAGATGTAATAAGAAAACATTTGAAAATTTATTCAAAACAATAGATACTCTTGTAAAAATCTAAATAAACATTGCATTTGATAAACACTAAATTTCATAGACCATTGCTTGAAATAAAAATCTAGCTCCATGGCAAGTATTTTAGAAATGGAACCTTCTAATAATCCCCAAAGAGTTTGTTGCATAATACTTACTTGGTCAGCACAGTAGATTACCTCTTTTTGTGTTTTCTTCAATCTGATGCATACTTTAGATTCAGCTACATTTTTATTCTGATGAAGATGATAACAGTTAAATGGTAACCTACATTCAATTGGAAATCAGATTCATTTGTCAGGGGTACCTGTACTGAAAACTGATGTTGTTTGTGCAGATTAGCTCAAAATTATGTTGCTCAATAAATTCCCAAATTTATTTTTATTGCAACTTATTATCACTAAGCATTATTTTAGCAATGGGAGCATTTAACAAAATAGTTTATCTGAACACAGTTTACATATGACACTCAATTTTAGTTAGGTTATACACCTTTGTTAATACTACAAATTGTTATACAGTTAATTAAATCATACTAACTGTAAAATCAAACTTAAGAAGATAAGTGGGTATTACATTAATTACAATTGTGGTATAATTCGAATGAGGAGATTTATGCCAAATTTAAAATAATGAAAGCTATAGATGAACTCAGTATGAAAGAAATGGGAACTACTTGATCAAAAATGAAGAATAGAAAAGCATCAGGAATGGAGGTGTTGAATGCAGAACTATTTCAATATTGTAGCTTTTTCTCTAAACTTAGGCTATGGCATTTCCTGAACATATACTGGAAAAATGGAAGAATTCCTCAATCCTAGATGATGTTACCCTCATTTTTAAGAAGAGAGAACAGAGTGAACCTGAAAACTATCAAGTGTTTTCAATGCCAGTTATAAGGAATATGCCATAATTCTAAAAATAGATTAAAAACTATTAGTAAAGGTCATCTATAAAATGAACCACACGGATTCTGACAATGCCATTCTGCTCTGATAATATTATTTTTCTGAAGATAATTGAAAAGAGAAGAAAATATATTTTGGAAATCCATCTTCTCTTCATAGACATTGAAAAGGCTTTCGATAAAATTGTAAGAAGAAAGTTATGGTGAATATTAGAGACCAGAGGATACCCTAAACAAATAATAGCAAGTTTTAAAGCATTATATAATGGAACAGAGGTAGTTATGAGAATAAATCACCTAAATAGCAGAACAATTTTAGTGAATCGTAGAGTACAATAATGGTTCTTTTTGCCCTCAACAATTTTTAATATATATTTTGACAATGCTCTTAGTGTGGAAAAAATAATGTTCAGGTGGAATCTGTTTGGGAAATGGTAATTATTTAAATATTCTGTTATTTGCAGATGAAAAAGTTTTAATTGCTAGAAAAAAAATGAACTCCAGAAAAATGCTCATATATTGAGTAATATAATAGTATAGTAATATAATATATTGAGTGATACAATTCAGTGTTGGAACAAGTAAACATTTTACCTATCTTGGCTGCAACTCGAGCTATGATTACTAAAATGACATTATCAAACTCCATTGATTCCAACAAGTGGGCAACACAATAAGATGGACAATCATGAAGAAGCCAAGAACAGAGATGTAACTAAAAATGTACAAAGTGATGGCAGTACCAGTTTTCCTGTATGGGAGTGAGTCATGGGTATTGACAAGAAAGAAAAGTAGTAATATAAAGCTTCCAAAATAAGATTTCTAAGAACAGTAAAAGGCTGTAGCCTCCTTGACCAGATCAGAGATGAAAGCATTTGAAAAGATCTCAACATTTTCCCCATATGAGACAAAATAAAGGAGAAATGTTCAGCGTGGACACAATACCTACAAAGGATGGAAGATGATGGGCTCGCAAAAGAGGCCTACCATTACCGACCAGCTGGAAAAATAGATTCTGGTAAACCAAGGCAACGATGAAGTGAAGCCAGAACAGGCCTTCTGGCCTAAACATGAAAGGACAAAAAAGAAGTAAAAGGAAAACCAAACTTCTGTGCAAGTGTAAAGTATCTTCTTTCTATTCACTACTTAAATAATGACTGCACCGTGTAAATAGTGTGTAAGTAGGCTTTGAGGAGTCAATTTTTTATTAGCTTGATAATTTTATTAGCTATCTGATATCATTTCAAAAGGTCAGAAGAAAGTTCAGTTTAATACAATACTTTGAAAAAGACAAGTATATTAAATGTATCGTTTCACATTGTATGTTGATTAGGAAATCTTAATTTCAATTTCAAATTATTCCTACAGACTTATCAGAGCTGCAAGTGAATCATCTCTCTCATACTTAGGCAATTTCTTTAAATTTGTAATTTTTTTAAATATTTTACATATTTCTCATATATTTAGTTTTTCAAATCAATTTCAATTTTTAAATTCAAAATATCCAAATATGGATTTCAACATGTGTAATGAAATTGCTGGCTGACTAAATGTCATTTCTACCTGGGTAATATACTTATTAATTTAATGCTTGTATCAAAGGATTGTGTTGTGAAATAGAACGGAAAACAGATTGAGAAAGTGAAGTGAAGAGCATTGCTGTGGAGTACTAGAATATCATGTTTAAAATTTAAAATAATTGTATATGAATATTAATATAAATTAATAGTCATAGTTATTTAAACTTATTCTTGTCCATCTTCTCTATTATTATTATTATTATTATTATTATTATTATTATTATTATTATTATTATTATTATTATTACTATTATTACTATTATAAATTATAATAATTTTAAGTAAGCATAGTATTAAAGAATAAAAATCTTTCATTGCAATGTGTGTTGTGCTACCATATTTAAAAACACTAGTTGAGATACTAAATATATTTCTAGGTGAATTATTTAACAATATTTCCTATTTGTAAATAATTAACATAAAGGAACCTTTCAATTTCTATTTGAATGTGTTGTAAATATAGATATGGTGCATTCAGTTGGGTATGCCACAACCATAAATGAGTGCTAGACAAATATGAAATTCAATTGGCTTTGGTAAAATAAGAGAGAGAGACAAATTCAAATGATTTTAACTTCAACAATGTTTGTCTGGAAATTTGTTTGTTTTTTTTCTGGATGATGGAAGTTACCTCTTTACATTGTTTTGGATGAATAATAAATTCATACTCTCCTCATGCACCTATGCTGTCTAAAACAAAACAAAGTTGTAATTTAAAAAATCATGAATTTCAAAACCCACTAAGGTATTTTATTTCAAGTATTAATGATTTTCTTCAACATGAAAAAAAAATAAATAAAAAGTAGCTGGTATAGTTCTAGATTCCTTGAGTTTTCAAAAAATATAGCTGGATGTGTAAGGAATTTTCCAGCGACAAGCTGTCATTAAATGTTGAGGAGACAATACCCTCAAAGAATAATATATGTGATGAAATTGTCATATTTCTTTCAGTTTTTGCAGCTTCCCTATGAATTTAAAATATGCATGGCCTCCCTCTTTAAATGCAGAGGAACTTGTCTTTAAAATTAGTTGTTTGTGCTCAGAATGTAAGAAAGTCAGCCAAGTAAGCCAATGTCCATATTCTAATTACTATGTTTCATGGAGCAGTTATAGTACAGTGTATTGATATGTTTGATGTGGGTTTCTCCCCCAAATATTTGCCTTTTCATTTACAGAATTTTGACAGCATCAGAGCAAAGCATATATGTGATATATTTTTATGTAATTTCTATAATATTCAATATATGAAATTGTACACAAATTTCTGAACATAAATTTGCTCATGAACTTATCCACAGAAGAAAAAAATAGTTGTAAGGTTCTGTATTAATGCAGTCCTGTAATAACACTTCTTTTAAAATATGTTTGCATGCATATTAAAAGAAATATGAATTGAAATATTTCACTGCAAAGAGAATAATGTAAAATATGCATTGAGTATGAAATACAGTGTATAAAATGAAAGTTCATGAATGTTTGAAATTTCATTTGAAATTGTAAGTAGGTAACCTGATTGCACTACATTGCCACTAGGGGTTGTAAAGCACTATTTATATTCTTGGGCTTTCTGTTCTTCATTCTTGCAAACTTTAGTTTTTATTCTTTACACGTAAATTTCAATTTCAGTCAAAGCAAAAACTGATCTTTATTCTTGCAAACTTTAGTTTTTGTTCCTAACTCATCAATTTCAATTTCAGTCAAAGTAAAAACTGATTAACTTTTTTGATATTTTAATTCCATTACTTGTATCTTCACATGCTTCACATGTATCTCGTTTTCACTATTTTCCATGACATACCACATTGAAAATTGTAGTGCCTTGAGAAATAATAAAACTGAACAATAAATAAAAATAGTTATATTATTACAATTGTATTATTATTATTATTATTATTATTATTATTATTATTATTATTATTATTATTATTGTTGTTGTTGTTGTTGTTGTTGTTGTTGTGTTTTTAAGTATTAATGAATTTATGGTGACACATATCTACTCTCTTCTTATGTGAGACAGACTATAGAACCTATTTGTATACCGTATGCTAAAAGTTGTATCTAAAATATTCTCCTTGGGAGAAATTTATTGAAATGGAACTTATTATAAATTTGCAATGTTAGCTGACTCCAGATGACGTTTATGCAATAGAAGTAGCATGTATTTTGTTGAGACTTGTGTCAACTATGTTAGCACATTGTTGGTGCAAAAGTCAAATTTTAATCATTATTTAATTGTGTATTTGCCTTTCTACATATCCCTTTTGAATGCTCATTTTTTGTTTCAACTATATCTCAATTTTTAATTAATTTCTTTTTTCTTATTTCATATAGTTAGTAGACTCATTGTAGTTTTGATAAAATTTAACACTGGTAGATATGTATCTGTTGTATGTTTGAGTGTGTATTTTGATTTGAATAGTTTTTACCTCATCCACATTGTAAGGATGATTGTTTCTCAATTCATGGTTAATACATTCCTCAATTTGAAAATGAGAATTGAAAAAATAATTCTTCCATTTTTGATTTAGATTGTTTGCTATAGGATTTAAAATGAAATATACTCTTTTGAGTTGCTGCAAAAGCCATTTCCCTCTATATAGAATTTAAAAATAAAGAAATCTTACTGCAGAAAACAAATTATTTTCTATTCAATGAAAGATGTTAATTAAATGTTTGCATTATTAATGCAGCTCCAAAGTGAAAAATTTAATTCCTTTTTGTGTGGTTTTTCGTGTAATGTGTGTTTAAAAACATAAGAAAAAGAGGTGCATTGAATATTACTTCTTAACAGGTCTGCAGGTGGTGCTGAAGTCTATTATCAAGGCGATGGCACCATTGCTGCAGATTGGTTTGTTGGTGCTGTTCGCTATTGTCATTTTTGCCATCATTGGACTTGAATTTTACTCTGGGGCCTTACATAGGTCATGTTACAGTTTAGAAGATTTTGGTGAGTATCTTTATTTTTTCTTGTTTGTTCTCTCATTTCTATTTTTTATATAGAGTATTACTTTTTTAGCTGTATTGAGACTTGTTTGTCTTCTGTGACTCCTGCTTTTCAAAGTTGTTATATTTTCTTCTCAAAAACATTAATTTTTTTCACAACTACTTTTTTTACTATTACCCTTTATTACCATTAATATTACCATTCTAAGTTTGCATAATTTTCTTTTTTAGCCATTACCATCATTAATACTTCTTTCTTCCATCAATTTAATAGTCATAAGGCGCCAACTATTTGTACTCAACCGATCTACCCAACATTGCTCAATTTTACATTCCATATATAGTAATTGGTTCAATGATTGCTATGTGTATATTTATTGTTTTGTTTTTGTTTTGTCAGTCAATCCATGATGTTATCCTTTTTATTTCAATATTCTTTATCCTCTTCCACGATTTTATCAATTTGCTTCACAAATTGTTCAGCAAATTCATCAGCAATATTTTGTAGCTTGGTTTAGCCTTGTAAATTTTCAATTGTATCATTTTCTTCCTTTATCTTTTTCCTAATCAAGATATTATTGAACTCATACTATAATATTTTACCATTAGAAGCTTTATTTCCAAACTGATGTTAATAATCATCTTTTGCTTTACATATCTCTTTATTTAATCTATTTGTATACTTACTGTAAGCCAACTTCTAAGTACACATTTTTGGATTTGATTTCCATCTTTTGAAAAGTCTCTCTTTCTCTTTTATGTTACTGTGTAGATCATTAATTATACAGCCTTTATCTCTTTTACTCTGTTGAGCCATTTCATCTACAGTAGATTTTATAGTTTCATGTTACCATTGTAGATGTTATTAAAATTATTTACTAACTTATTGCAGAACAAATTGACATCTTTATTGAAGAATGTTGTGCTATCAGTCAATTTTATCAACCTGTTTATGATGTTTTGCAAGAGTTACCAAAGTTTAAATTATCATTTCAGGTTAAATATGAAACTGTTGAAAAGTGGTCAGAAATTTTATATACAATTACAGCTAATTTAATCTCTTTTGTTTTGTAGTGAATTAATATATAATGAATCAGAGAGCAGCTTAGATTTCCATTCCAAATTTATTTCCTTATTACTCTTTCTATTGCATTTATAGGTTCTCTCCTCATCTCTTCAAATTCTTTTATACCAAATATACTTTTCTTCAAGTCATTTAGATTCATGTCACCTATTACAAATAAATCATATGAATTATAACTATTAATTATTATTTCTAGATCTTTTATGAACCCCTCTTTTGCACAAATCTGGTGATCTGTAATTGAAGATTGCACCCACATTACGTTTGTTATCTGTAACATATTTGAAGGATCATATTTTCAGAGCTCTTTGTCACAAATTTGAATTCACTAAACACCAGATCGATATTATAATACATAATTACCCCACTACCTCTTCTTCTTTTTCTTAAATTGTACACCATGTTATAATTATTTATTTTAAATAGGTGGATCTCATCATCATGGATGTTTATTTCACTTAACCGTGTAACATTGAATTTGCTTTTGTATAGTATTGTGCGTAGTTGATCGAAATATTTACCTAATGATTTAACATTTAAGTGGAAAATATTTAAACTATTATGGTTTTCAAAGAATCTGCCTTTTTTAAAAATCTTTCATATTATTTGCTTCTGAAGTCTTCTTAACATTTATTTTTGTGTTATTTAGTCTATTGATGGGTTTGTTGCAATAATAATAATAATAATAATAATAATAATAATAATAATAATAATAATAATAATAATAACAAAAATAAAAATTATAATTTTTTTTTTATTGCTTCTGAGCTTATTTTATTTCTTAATTATTTATTTTGAGTTTTTTAGTGTGTTCTCTCTTGTTTTCTATTTTTCTCCTCGCATTTATGCTGTTCATCTTTACAAACATATGAGACGTTCTTTATCAAAACAAAATATCGAAATCAAAGGGTCGGAAATCATGAAAATAATTAGCTTTTCAGACTCAGCATGATATAAAAGTATAGCCTTTTTTAACGTTATTTTTATTTAAATATAATTAATTTTTTAAATGATATGAATTTTTTAAATGTGATGAATTTTCAGGTATTGTTGCATTAAAAAATTGCAAGCTAAGACTATACTTAAAGTTTCATCAATTATTTTTTTTAACACAATCTACTGATATCAAGCAACAGGAACTTTTCACAACAAAAATTTTTCAAGGTCATAGTGAGCATAAATGGGTAAAAATCTTTAAAAATTGATTGTGAAAATATGACATTTTTTCGAATTTTCAAAAACCAAAATACTTCTAGATACTTGTACTGTATGCCTACAAAATTTCATCCTTGATTATTGAAAGGATTCAGAGCTATAAGCAATTTTATTGCAAAATTTGTGATGAAAAGTTGTTTTTTATCTGACAAAATTATTTTTAATTGGGAAAACAATAGATCCATTACAATTGTTTACTAATTTTTTGACATTCAGCTTGTACCAGAAATGAGAACTATGGGAACAGTGGTAAAAAATAAATTTTACAATTTTACAAACATTACAATTTTTCACAATTAAATTTCATGCTAGGACACTGCTTTCAAGAAAAATCCAACACATGTCAAAAATTCCAAAATTGAACCGGTGGGGGATTGTTGAATTTTGACACTTTTAATGACATAAAAGAATTGCGACAAAATGCCCATATCTCTATGGAAAATATTGCTGGAGGCAAAAACTAGTTTCAAAATTTAAAATAGTTTCAGAAAATGCCTTCATTGCCACATTCAGGTGATAACTGTGCCCTCTAGAGGCTTTTTCCGAAACTCCTTAACTATTTGATCTACAGCACTGAGATATACACCACTGATTATCAGGTCATACTTTTTTATCTTGTAGTTTAGACAGAAGTTTTTATCCACATGAACTAGTAAAATATGGTGACACCCTAGGAACAAAGACTGTCATATTTTTATAATCAATTTTTACAGATTTTTACCCATTTATGCCATCTGTGACTTTGCAGTGACCTTGAAAAATTGTTGTGCCATGTTGCTTAACATCAGTAGATAGTGTTAAAAAATATTAAACAAAACTTCACATATACAGTCTTACCTTGGAATTTCTTAATGCAACAATACCAAAAAATTTATTAAAATCATTAAAAAAAAAACCTTCTAAAAACGCAAATAAAAAACATGGTCTTGTTTTTATATCATGCTGAATCTGAAAATATAATTGTTTGTATGATTTCTGACTCTTCGATATTATGTTGACCGTTTTGACAAAGCACAACCACACATTTTATTTTTTATAACACACCATATATTTTATTTTTTAACATTATTTATTTCGCTCTTTTGTTTTGATGCATGATATAATGCAAAAACTTTTAATTAACATTACATTTTCTGTTGGAAATGTTACTGTAATATTTACTTTGAAGACATTGTTTATCTTTGCTCAAAAACCCATAACAAAGAACAGATATGTGTTTTAGGAAGGCATTTGGAAAAAATATTGAATTTTCTGTCTTTTCTTTCACATTCACAACACCGACCTCTTTACCCTATCTTTGCAATTTGTTTTTTATTTGCAGTGCCACTAAATGTTGACACTGTGTAAATGATCTTCACTGTCCAGGTGATGTCGCTTCAAAGGCTGTGGTGTCAATGTTTGACCATCTTGTTGTGGACTTCCTCAGGGTTAGTCTTTGTCAAGTGGTCAGCTCTTGGGTTTATTGAAGGGGGGAAGCAAGTACAATTGGCTGAACCTGCTGGCAACTCTGGCAGCAACTGTCTGACTACTCTGGCGCAGACCAGCCCTGAGCAAGACCATGACAAGATGGTCAAAATGTCAGCATCACAGCCTTTGATGCGGCATCACCTGGACAGCCTAGATCAATTGCATGGCTCTGGCCACAAAAGCCTATGACACTTTCATCTGTTGACACTTTGTCTCTAGTATCACTAGGAATGTTTCTAAATACTGCATAACTGAAGAGCTCATTTGTAATAAGATCAAGTCATATGTTTGTGAAATTGTTACCACTAAATTGTGGAATTATTGATCCAATTACAAATGAATTTTAGCCAATGACATTCATCGCAATGTACATTTCTCAAACTGTAATTAGCACATATTTCAACTACGTCATCTTTCTTCCTCTCAACTTCTGCTTGTTTTTTATTTCTTTCTTAGTATCTTTGTAACCTTCTCTTTCCTCTACATCATATTCACATTCATCTTCATCTGTCCAATGCCACTCTTTCAAATTGAATACTGACTCCAAACTGACTATCTTTTGCCACTGCAGTGTTTCTAACCAGGTTCTGGGGTTTGAGTCCTGATGAAGGCAGCTTATTGACCCTAGCTACATGGCTAGATTGAATTTAGCTTTGTCAGGCTGACTAATCAGTAGTTTTTTATCCATATCAGGTGAATGCCAGAGCAGTACCCATTCTCCTCTCCCATTACACTTGTACTATGCTTTCCATAGATATACTACTACATATGCCAGGAGAACACTCAAGAACTTGGAGATTGTCCTGGCTCTGGCACTACTTAGGGAGGAAAACCCACCAGCTGATGTGTAGGGCATTGCTGGATCTCACATCCAGTGCGGGGGGAGAACACTGCCATCTCCTGGCTATAATATGTACTACACTCAAGAGACTAATGCTCAAAGTAGTTGACTTGCCAGGACACTAGTCTTTCTTACTAGAAAATAGTAAAACTATACTAGAATATATTTTTTGGAAATTATAGAATTGGGAAAAATATCTTTGAGGAAATTTGTTTGAGAAAAAAGGCTTTGAGAAGTTGTAAGGTTTTGGAAATTGGCACACAACCATGAAAGCCAAAAATTATAGTATCTCAAAAACTACTATTTTGAGGGTTAATTTAACTTTCAATTTAAAAGTTTAGAGGCAAATAAGGAAGGCAACATAAGAAAATTAAAAAACAAAGTCAGGTTTTATATAATATATTATTAAGTTATATATATTTACACTATTATATAATGTGTATAATATATATTATTAAATTATATATCATCATAATTTTTATACAACCCACTTAAACTCCTTTTCATCAAAATATCTCACAAGCATTTCCATGTTTGCACTTGAATTCTTCAATTAATCACACACAAACAATTACAAATAATTGTGTATTTGCACATCTGCACAAGGATTCTAGTAATATTATGCACTAGCTTGTTTACTAAGAATTGTATTAATGTAGTATACCATTTTCTTCCTCAGATGAAATTGTAAAAGAAGGCGAATTTGAAATTCCATGTAATGCTGACAATGATGCAACAGCACCAGCAGGAAGTTTTGTGTGCAATGCTAATCTTTCTACTTGTGTTGAGAAATGGGAAGGCCCCAATTTTGGTATTACATCATTTGATAATATTGGATTTGCCATGTTGACTGTTTTCCAATGCATCACTATGGAAGGGTGGACGGCCATTTTATACTGGGTAAATGAAATTGAATCTTCAGTTTGTCTTAATGTATATTTCTTACAACAGATTATGTATATGTGTTGTTGGTTTTTTTCTTCTTGCAGACAAATGATGCATTAGGTAGTGCATTCAACTGGGTGTATTTTGTGCCCCTTATAGTCCTTGGTTCCTTCTTCATGCTCAACCTAGTTCTTGGTGTGCTTAGTGGGTAAGTGCATCTTATGTAAGTGATTGTATTCAATTCTGATTATTTTTCATGGTTCAAGTTTTTGAAGACTTGTAATTGGAAGATCCGATATCAGAGATACAAAATCTACTAAAAAGTTAACTAACAATAAGATAAAAACAACTTTCCCCTGTTTTCCAAGCTTGTGGTTTTTTCAGTGAATTTTCTAATGAAAGAACTCGAGTGGAACGTAGAGCGAAGTTCCATCGAACACGTACTAAACAACTCTTTTCAGCTGCATTCAGTGCTTATCTGGGTTGGATTACTCAAGCAGGTACTAACAGCTTCAGTTGTACTGTGCTTAATGCTGGTAAATGCTAGCATACCTTACTACTGAGAATCTTTCAGCAACTCACATTTAAGTGAGACCTACAATTGGGAAATGTACAAGCAAATCCACAACACTTGTATTTTATACTTATGCTTTTTGAGTATTTGTCCTTGTCAAAGAAGTTTATCCCAGATGTAGCTGATTTCCTGTGGGTGTTTGGAAATAACTTTGTGAAATATATATATATATATATATACATTCAGTGAATGTACAGGCAATGAAAGCCATATCTACATCAAAAACTTATTTCATGATCTTATTGTTTCATTATCCTCCACCACAGTTACTTTTTAACTTTTAACTTAACAAGATTGGAGTTTCAATTCGTATGTCAAGAGATTGGCTTTCAAGGTCTGATGACCATTAGATTTTTGTAGCTTGATTTTTTAAGGTTCTGGACTTAATTTTCCATTAGTAGCAGTAGAGTATAAAATAATTTTTTTGAAGGCTTATTCATATGCATCGAAAATGCCATCGCCCTGCAGCACACTATTTGACCCCTACAATATTTTAATCCATTTTTTTGTATACCTGTAGTTCCTTGTAGTGAGTATTGTGGCTTTCCCCTGCAGAGAATTTGCAAAGGAGAGAGAGAAAGTTGAAAACCGACAGACATTTTTGAAGCTGCGGCGACAGCAGCAATTGGAGCGTGAGCTTAACGGTTATGTTGAATGGATTTGTAAAGCAGGTGCGTGCAGAGTTGTGATAAAAGTGTGAAATTAAATTAAGATTTGTTGTAATTTTAACTTAACTCTATGTGTGTATTTATATTCATTACTAAAAATTCATTTTTATAACACCTTAAATAATTCTTGGTGCTATTCCAGAGGAAGTGATATTAGCAGAGGAGAGAACAACAGAAGAGGAGAAAATGCATATAATTGAAGGTAATTGAATTCAGGATACAATTATGTATTATCAATAAGTAGATACTTATTTATGAAATAAACAGGGTTGGGCAAAATACTTTACATTTTGTATTGATATACTTCAACAAAAAAAATTGTAAATAGGTATTTAATATATACACAAATTACATTAGGTTTTGATTTGCTGTGTATAAACACTTTCAAATATAAAATAATATAATAAAGTCTAACACAAATAAACAAAATTTCCTTTTAAAATGACTAATTTTTCAAACAAATCTTCAGAAAATAAACCCCCAGTTGGTGAATGTTTAAAACCAACAAAGGAAAGTGGTCATTCCACTGGTGCATATGAACATAAACTAGTGTTATAACAAATAAAAACTTTTTTGATTGTAGGATAATTGTCAAACATTTTTAATGATTTAAATGTATCATTTAAATATATTAGCAATTGAAAGAAGCTTTTATTTTTGTTTCAATGAGGTACATTCACTAGCGGAATCAAACAAAAACAAACTATTCTTCTTACCTTCTTTTTCATTTGTATTTAAAGTATTTTGAGTATTTCTTTCTCTTTTTACTCCTATTTTAAGTATTTAAATACATCTTCAAAATACATGTCCCAAAAACTCAAAAAGACAGTTTTTCAAATACAAAATGTATTTAAGAAGTAAAATGTATTTAAGTTTTTGTTGTTGTTGTTGTTGGTGGTGGTGTTGTTGGATTATTTTTGCTTGACTAAAGAGGGCATTTATGTTACATGATGCAATTCTCATAAATACTTACAATTTGATATATTGTTGAAAGCAGCTGTGGCAATTTGCAGAAAATATACTTATACTTTCTACAATTAGAATTCTTCTATTTCCCATCGCCCTTGAAACTGAACTATATAAAGAACTCTATATATTTTAATTTCATTGTTGCATGTGCTTTAAGAAATTATGAAACCTTTAAGCAATGCAACAATTTTTCCTTACATTATTATAATTTCAGCGAGAAGAAGAGCAGCTGCAAAAAGAAAAAAGTTAAAAAGTATGGGGAAAAGTAAAAGTACTGACACAGAGGAGGAAGAGGGGGAGGAAGAGGATGACGATGGTGAGTAACTGTGGCCATGAGGCCCTTAGAGAGATGAGTGATCCTTTTTATCTTTTTTATATTTATGGGGTAATTTGCTAAGTGAAAATTAGATGTTAATAAATGAAATACGTGGTCATTTTCTAAATACCAATCTTACTTATATTCAATAGTCAGTTACTAAATAGAGCATGCCTTTTTCTCTTTATCACATATAAGATACCACCTTGTTGTTTACATATTTACAGAATTAACTTTTTAGCTGTTTATGGGATTTATTCATACAGTGCATTGTCACATGCTTGAAAATGGTACAATAGAAAAGGTAAAAGTAGAATAAAATAAGAATGGTTATTGGAAAAATAGATGTTTCTTTCATTCTTTCTTTCTTCATCTCTGTGTGTTAGTTTTTTCTTATTAGTAATTGTTAAATTATTTTATTGACCATTGCAAAGTATAATGACTTTCCACTTATAAAGTTTTTGCCCTAAGTGATTTGTTGGTTTAAATTGATTTGGTTATGTTTCATTAGAAAACATAATCTATGTAGTGAAAAAACATTTGGTTTACAAATCCATTCGCTGTCTATCAAAATGAGCTCATCTTGTCATAGTAACATGAAGCTGACCTGCTTCATGGACAATTGGTTAACACATTTCAAGAGCAGCGAATGGATTGTTAGAAAGATCATTATAACAGAATTTACAGCAGTAAAACCTTTCATTTCAGTGCCTAAGAAAAAACTCAAAGGTACGGAAGAGCCCACTTGTTACTCTCTTAACTGCAGGTTTAGATTTCTTATAAAAAAAATAACTTAGAGTAGGATGTTAGCAATTTGGTTAGGTAGCCTGTTGTAGTATCACAATTTGTTGAGTGTTGCAGCTCTGAGAGACAGGGCAATATTATGAAAGTATGAATGTTTTGAACTTATTTCATATTCAAACCTCTTGTTTAAACAGTTCTTTATTTTTTAAATAATTCCGGGATAATAAGTTTCATAGCTGACCCATATTCCAAATATCCTCTTGCAATTATAATTTAATGAGTATATTTTATGACAAAAACATAAAATACTATGATAACCAAAAGAAGAAAACGTACTATCCAGACAAGGGTAAAAAAAGGAACAAACTAATTTTTTCCAAGATACTCAGGAAGCTGGATAGAAAATCGTAAGAAAATGAGTCCATTAATTAAGTAACAAAAACTTTACTGAAAATGAAAATTTAGAAAAAGATTATTTATCTTATAATTTATACCATTGATACTTTGAATGACATTGTTCTGTCTCGCTCACATGTCATGTGTCTAATTTCTTCTTGAGGCTGATCCTGTGCTACATTCACCCCATCATGACCAATATGGATCCATGTTGTTTCTTGCAGCTGATAGTGTTGATCATAGGAAATACTTTGTATCACTGAAAGTTCTTGCATGCTAAATGTGAGGGTGTGTTCAATCTCCATATGTGTTCTGAATAGGGAACAAAGTAATTTACCTATGTTTTGATATCTGTAAAATCTTGTAACATATGAGTTCATCTAAAGAGACATTCTGTTAAAAAAGAACTTCATTTTAAAAATAAACAAGACTGTTTTATTAATTGTATTCTTTAGTATCTTTGTTGTTTTGTATTAAGTACACAATAGTTCAAAGATATATTTAATATCTTCCTTGACATTTTATTTCAATTTTATAGTTATCTTTTTACAATGAACTGATGGTAAGGTTTACTCCTGGAGAATAGTGTAACAGATTTTAAGGCAACGATTAAAAATACAAGTATATAACAGAATACACATGGAGCATTCAAAAATAACTATGAGCATGGAACCACCTGCATACCTTACACAATGTCACCAATGGAGAACCCACCAGCTTACAGTTGTTTCCAGCAATCATTAGAAGCCAAAGTTGTATTACATACTTGGCTTGCTTAGCATGGAGACCAGGGAAGTGTTACATGATTAACTCAAAATGAAGATTAATTCTAAATTACTCTCAAGTTTTTGAAATATATTGTCAGATATTGGTTTTGTTTCATGTTGGAAGAGTTTTGTGCATCAACTATAATAATAATAGTAATAATAATACTAGTAATGATAATAATACTTATCAATTATTATATTTTTATTAACAATTCACAACTGTTTTAATATTATTTCTGATAGGACTTACAACTTTTAATGTTAATAATTGTGCCTTTCACACCTTCAAGTTCAGTGTAAATGAGCGAATTAACACAAGCAAGAGCTTGTTGCACTTCCTCTAGGTCTATCCATTATTTTAGTAGATTGCAAGTATCAATTTACAAAATGTTGAATAAAAACTTGAATAGTTGAATTGTAGTATTAATCATTTTAAGCAAGTATCATTATAGTTTTATTAACTAATACTTACAGTATGGTCTTTTGATTATAATTTATCATATTCTTACTGTAGTGACTTGAGTAACATTGTGCTTGCAAAACCAATGTTAAGTTAGAAATTTTTGAGCATTGTATTCAGTACTTTGAATGCTATATTATGAAATTACTCTAGTATGGATTCTTTTAGCTTCATGTAGGATATTCTGTGCTGTTACTTGTTCACGTCTGCAAAATTTACCCATATATTAGACTTGTGCTAATGTAGAAAAGACGGTGTTACAAGTAGAACATATATTTAACACATCACATAACATATTTGTAAGGAAAAATGACATGGTGAGATTCTGCAGACTTCTATACCAGAATTCATCCAATCTGTGTTAAATATGTGTTTTACAAAGTAACTATATATAGAAAAAATAGTTGAGATTGTGGTGGAATATTGTATATAGTTATTGTTGAGTAATTACTCTTTATGCATTGTTATTTCTTTTCTTAGGAATAATATTCAGTATGTGCACTTGCATTCATCAGAAATTTATACTATTAATTTATTTAGCGGAGTATTGTAAATAGAGTGTCTGCGAAACATGTAAAATGTGTTGAGATTAGTCTTGAAACATATATGCCTGTTATTATTATTCTTACTGTTAGATTTTTTTATTTGAAGCTGCACTGAAATTTTATAAGTTCATCAGATTTTGATGAAGATTATTAATCAGAAAACAAGTTATCTAGTTCATGGGTACTACACATGTATTTTTTATTACACTGTCAGAAGTTTACCTGTAGTGATATCTCACAAATGTTTAAGAACCCATAATATTCATTTCTACATATTTATAATTTTTACAGCATTATTTTCTCTTTCTGTAATTTTCTATCTCTGTATAATTAAACAACAATAGTTTATTTTTCAAGTTATTTCAAAAAAAGACTGTGAATTGAAATTTCAGAGTGCTTAATAAAAAATTACACACATTTAAATGGAGCTTTCATGATTCTGCTGAAGTGTGTACAATAGTGAATATGATTATTGTGTCTTAAGTTTTCAAGTTCCTGATGAAAATTTATCTAACCTGAAAAATTCTGAAAGCTTCATATTTCCATGTGTTCAAATCAGTTTTACTTTTGTGTGTAGCTCATAAATTAATTACATGTTTTCTTTGTGCCCAGGGTTCTCTAGAGCTTCCTATTTGAAAACAAAAGTTAAAAATAAAGGAGCGTGTGTGCAATTCTGGAGAGCAGAAAAGCGATTCAGGTACAATAAAATTGAACTCTTCTTAGAAGTAATACATTTTTTTGTAAATTAATTTTTATTGTACTGTCATACGTATTTCTCTCTAATTTAAAAGAACACTTTGCAAGAAAAGTGCTTGTACTTTCTTTACGTTATCATTTTACTTGCTATAAATAAAATTGCATACAAATAAATTTTTAAAATGTTCAAAGGTATACCATGCTTAAATTTTATTGTATTGTTAAATATTGTAAAGACTTTGCTATAAGTCATTCAAGTAATGCTTCATGTTGAACTTTTTAACATCTTGTAGTGTGTGTTCCTGTGATATATGATGTAGCTGACGTAAGAGTACTCTCAATAGTGTTTTCCTAAGAAGTCCAATTTCTTACTCAGGCTTTTAAGTTATGCTCATATTTTAGCTCTCATAAAAATTGTGAATCATTTGTTCTTGAAAATTGTTCTAGGCAGTATCAACTATGGGTTTTGTATGTGTATTCAGATTCGTAAAGAATATTTTTCTGCCCTGAAAAATGTGTAATTTTTCCAAAAGAAGATTAATATATATCCCATTCTTCATGTTCAACTGTATGTGTTCTGTACAATAATCTATGAGTTTCTAGGATTTTAGATTGTCATAGTGTAAAGGTTTCAAATTTGGAAAATATTATTTTGTTCAGTAAATAAGATTTAGATTTCTCTCAATAAAATATTCATATAATCAATTTTTAAAATAATATTGAAGGTAAAAATACCATTTTAGTAAATAAATTTTTTTTACAGGTTTTGGATACGCCACACTGTTAAAACTCAGTGGTTTTATTGGTTTGTGATTGTGTTAGTGTTCCTCAATACACTGTGCACAGCTGTAGAATATTATGGTCAGCCCCAATGGCTAACAGATTTCTTATGTAAGAATTATTAATTTGCTATCTTCTTTTCTTATTACAACAGTAATTTTTAAATGATTCAAAATCATACATGTGTTCTTGCTTCCTATTTTTCAGATATTTCCGAGTTTGTGTTCCTTGGTCTTTTTATGATGGAAATGTTCATCAAGATGTATGCATTGGGACCTCGCATTTACTTTGAATCTTCATTTAATCGTTTTGACTGTGTGGTTATCAGTGGCTCGATCTTCGAAGTGATTTGGTCGGCTGTGAAACAGGGCTCATTTGGCATCTCAGTACTCAGGGCATTGCGCCTACTAAGGATATTCAAAGTTACAAAGTAAGTGTTTGGAAGTGATTTCAGAAAGCAAAAAGTTAATTACATGCTCAGTTTCAAAAGAAAATTATAGAAGAAGAAAACAAGTCTAATTGATAAATTTCTTATTTACCTGTGCAAATTATCACAATACAGTACTTTGTGAAGTAAATCAACTTCACAACACACAGTTCTAATTCTAAACTAAAATGGTTATGAATCAAAAATTGAAACTGAAATTTCTATCAATTTTTTTTTTATGTAGGTATACAGTAAAATACCAGTAAAACAGAATTGAGAGGTCCTCCAATTATTTTGATATTAAGAAATATTGTTATATTGAAGAATGTGAATTCATAAATCCTACTATAATACATATATTACAGGATCTACATTATATAAATATGAAATTACAAATGAAAAAACATAATATTTATTAGATGAAATGATGAACATTAATAATATAATTATATTTGCAAATTATGGGAGATTTTTTATAATTGTTATTAAATTTTTAATTTCAATTTTTCAAATTGGATTTAATAATAATTTTTTTACAAAAGTCTGGGTTTTTGATCAATACAATTGAAAAGAAAATAATACAACTGAAATATGAAATCAAAACTTTTTTACCCAACTATTAGCAGGACTTCTTTTATTAGAAGTCGTGCAAGGCTCACCAATCACATTCATGTTTGGAAATATGCAGTGGAATTCTTTGAATAATTAATTATCAGCATAGTAATAATAATGTTCATTGTAAAACTGGATAATTTTAAATTATATTTTGAAAGAAGCAAAGCAAGGAACTTAGAAAGGCCAAATTTTATTTTGTTAAACTGAAAGTTAGTTTTTCAACGCATTTTCAAAGTGCAACTTTCAAATCATTTTACATATAATTCATAGTTAAATTAGTGGGGACCTGAAAATAATTTCATAAAACTGAAATTTTCATTATGTTGACATTTGTTATAACATTTTACTCTATTGAATTTATTTATAAATCAGTTTCATTATAAAAAAATAAAATAGTTTATTAAATAAACTATTTAGGAAGAGTAAGAAAAGAGACACGTTTGTCATTCATTTTTTCTGAAATTATTCGTCGTCATCATCATCATCAATAATATCCACAGTTCAGGAGCAGTGCTCCTGTCCTGTTAGTCAGGTAAAGCAATATTCCTTCATGTGGTGAAGTGTTCCTGCTGGTGCTTATTATTTTAAGCGTAATACAATAATTTCATTATTTTAATGTCATGAAATAAATATTGATGTTACAAAACACTGCTATATTCATTTCAAGTTTCTTCACAACTCTTTAAAATGACTTCATTTACTATATTTTTGTGGATGTAAGTGTATTAATACAAAACCAAACTACTTCTCCATTGAACTAAAAAAGATTCTTTGTAACCAATTTGTTGCTCAGTTTTGTACAGAAATTAATTTATACATAATGCACACTCATCTCTATTGCACATTTTTTTTGTGTTGTTGACAAATATACATTTATAGAATGAGTGAATAACACTAATTGTGTAATTCCCAATTCTGTAAGAAAATAGCCTTCTTTATAAATCCAGATTCTAATAAGACTTCACTAAAAAAAATAGCTTTTTCCCAAAAATATTTTAGGTAGTTAACTAAAAAATAACAATATTATCAAAATTGTAAACAAATCAGAAAATATTAAAAAAAATGATAAAATGTACAACGAGGTAATTAAATTTGCTCTATCATTAGTTGCAGGGTTTATATCCTAACAAATTATGAATTAGAAATAAAAATCATTGATGATGGAAATTTAAAATTAGATAAATGAATCTATGTATTATTTGCAAGTTTGTGATATCAGAATTACCATAAAAAATGATAGTATAAAGACTATCATTTGCACTATCATTGTTCTATCATTGTCTCAAAAGATATGATGTGCAAGTAGAAAATTTGCTTTCAGTTTTCAAAGTAACAAAAGTAAGTTACACTTGTTTAGACACATTTTAAATAATCTTTTAAAACTTCAATAAATTTTTTAAAAAAAATGTGTATTACTTTTATTCTCAAATTTTGAGTGATATATTTTTTAAAAGAGTGTATGTTCTTAACAAAACAATCTTAAATTTTTATTGAAATGGGTAAATAAGAATATTTACTTTATTAAACTTGTTTGCTTTTGTTGGAAATGATTTTAAATTGCAGAAGTGATTGTGAAACATGTAATGATCAAGTGCTTTCCTTTGAAGAATAATTGCGTGCAGAGATCTCATGAATTTTGCACTTGTTTGTCAGTTTTTATAACTATTTTTATTGTGAAGTTCAGATGTCTGTGAAAAATAGTGGTGCAAGAAGAGTCAAGTTAAAGTGGAATCTAAAAGTGAAATGAAGTTGCACATTTTTATTTTATTTTATTTTATTTTCTCCTTTGTGTCAAGATGAAATTTGGATAAGCAAGAAGATGCTCAGAAAAGAGAAAATAAATGGAAAAACTTCATGTTGTATAATGAATCTCCAACATTTAGCTCATATTACATTAGTTGTTAAGATGTGATGGACTGTGTGTCATAACATTACAAAGTTTTCAAAACTGTAATTCTCCAATTTATTCTATGTTGAATGTATAATTAATTTTGTTATTTATTTATAAACAAAGAAATATTTCAGTAATGAAGACAAAGAAATGCCTTATTGTCTTAAGTGACCTTATTTAATTCTTGTTTAAACACTCTCTACTCAGATATGTGTGTTAGAAATTATACCAAAATTATTTATGAGATTCATGTAAAATTAAACAGTTACTTATGTGAATAAAAAGTGCCTATTATAATGTAACATTTCTATCAATTGATGAATTAGTTAATAAATGAAAATGTGGTTAATTTGAGGCACTTATTTAAAATGTTTCTAAAATTAATTTGCATTGCTGCCTACTAAAGTGAATATATGCTTTCATTTCTTTAAAGGGAAAACTATTTTATATATGGGTTATTCCATGCAAAAAAGTAGATTTTATGACATGACTCCTTCAAATTTGAACATATTTTGGGATATTGTTGTTCATGATGTGTAAATTGTCAAGGAATAATATTAAAATCTTTTGATTGTTTGGTAACAATGCACTATAAAAATCTAAGACTACTTGTGAACAACCCTATATTTTTAAATTTGTTTGCCCTCATATAAATGTTTCTACAAATTCTAAACCTTTGTGAATGTATATAAGGTACGTAGTAAAATTATTCATTAAATATCAATTTTATATCATGTTATTCATTGGAATACAACAATAAAAAACACTTTTTAAACACAATTACCTGAGAGACAACCTTTTAAAAATTTATAAAAATCTGCAATTAAATTGCAATCAAGTGTTCTACAAAACTACTGATATTTTTGAAAAGTTGAACATGAACTTATTTAAAGATCTGTATTTAAGAAACAAATTTCATTAAGGAAAAAATACCTACCTTCAATATTATAATTGTAAGAAGACGCCCCAAAAAAATTGGGCATTTTCAATTTTTTTAAACAGGAACTGTGTCGTTCCTGTCAGTGAGAACAAACTTTTAGTAAAACCTGTATCAAATTCAACTTAAGTGCCTATGGAAGTTGTTCTCCAAAAGACACCTATGACTGAGTAGTCCATCTGCTGCCTTGTGAGCAGATGCCACTGTAACAGTGCAAGTTTATGGCAGGTTGAATACTGCCTTTCAGCTCAAGTGAGCTTTTAATGATAGTTTTTGTTCCTTTCAAGATATCATCAAGAAACTGCAATAGCTTCTAGAACATACTTCATGCAATTTTATTGCAGATTTTTACAAATTTAAAAAGGTTGTCTTTCGAGTAATTGCAAAGTTTTTTGTTTTTTTGTTATATGCCAAGAATAGCATGATATAATGTTGATATTTAAAGAATAATTTTACTACATATCTTATATTTACTCACAAACTTTTAGAATTTGAATAAACATTTATAAGAGGGCAAAAAATTTAAAAGAATGTAGGGGAGTTCACAAGTAGGGTTAGTTTTTAAGAGTGCATTGTTGCCAATCAGAAAATGTTAATATTATACCTCGATGATGTAGGCATAATAGATAAACAATATCTCAAAATACTTTCAAGTTTGAGGGAGTCATGTCATAAAATCTACTTTTTTGCATGGAATGACCCATATTGTATTTCTTGTATAAACTTTGCTCACATGGCTTTATATTTTGTCCATAATCTAAATGAAAATTAAATGGATTCCTTGGTGTATTTGCTATCTTTTTAAAAGATTTGTCCTTAATTGTTTTTTAGTTAGTTTTAAAGTTTATGATCAATATAAGGGTAAAAAATATGCATATTTTTTGTTTGAATGAATTATATAATATGGATATTAGTGCTGAATAACATATAGATTAATCAATTGGTCCAAGGCAAATGTCCACTCATGGAAATATCCATTAATGTAAATGTCCACTTAATTTCAGAACTTATACTGTTTCATCCAAGTTCTTTATATGTCCAATGCAGAAATGTTCAGAAGCATATAATGTCTAGTGTAATTGACACTCAGAGGAATAATTCAAAAAATGACATTCCATTGACAAAAACCTACAGCAAATTTATTGACTGTTTATTACTATGTGAAAACTATTACTTGTGAAAACCAGTAATTAATTTTTCAATTTTCTTCTACCAGAGGGTCAACATGCAGAGTCATTTGGTTTGACAGGGCACATAGATATTGTTCACATGATTGTTGTCTTTGGTCTTGGTATCTCCTTACTATTTCTTCAATTCTCTGATTTGTGACATATTTCTTATCTATGGGATGTTGAACATGAATGTGTCTGCTTTTGAATTGTATCATGGTTAGTTCAATTTCATGTTCTTTGTTTCTAATATTTTCTAAAAATCTCCAAATGTTCTCAAGCTGTCCTCAAATCATTCTTTGAAATTTAAAATGGAACCATTCTACTATATTGTTAGTTTTTTACCACCTTGTAACATAATTTCAGTACAGTTCCAAATAGGAGAAGGGGACCATCGTGCAGTAGGTCTCTAATGTCCTGTGCTCACTGACTGGTAACATAGACATATTGTATATATTCTGCTAGTTCTAAAATATCTTCAACTTTGAAATACCATTTTAATATTGTTCACAGACACAAAAGGCAAAGCTTGAATCTCTTGCATTTGTTTCTAGTGCCTTGGTTTTTCCATGCTTAAATAGGCTTCTCGCAATCCTAAACAAACAATTTTTATGTATACGGCTTGAGAGATGTGAAATTAGCACTCCCAATGGTACTATTTGGAAAAAGGTGCTGTGCAAGCTTCAAGTTGGAAATTTCAAAAGCCATCGTTATGGACTTGCCAGCTAGTTGCTGCCTCGAGTACTGTGCCTGCAACCTTGCCAACACTGCAGATGTCCACCACAGTTGTGGACAAAATGTTTGGCCGTTCAATGGCAACTAGACCACGGCCTACCAGCCTGGAAAATTTCACTTACATTATGACAGCCATTTTAAATGTTCTATCTGTAAATACATGGTGATGCACAGAGATGTTCAATATTTCTGGTACTTGCAAATATTAATATGTCATCAATATCCTCTCCAAAAACAAATAACAAAAATTGTTCATTCTGCAAAGTTGAATCATATGGATGAAATATATGAAGGTTTTATATACTTCTAATTATCTGTTTTGCTCTAGCAAGTTGACTAAAACCTCTTCATTTGTTATGCCAGCAGTAGCTTCTCTCATAATATGACTAGGGTTTTCATTGGGTCATACTGTTGCTATAGCTTAGTCTATATGCTGTCTTACAATACTCTGCACTTTTGTTCCTTCAATGGCAACTGTTTTAATACATGAGTATGTGCTTTATAAACATCCTTCCCTAGGGTATTATTGTCTATATCCCTATTTGCCTATTTTTTTCACTCTAGGATTTGCGGATTCCCCATTCGTAACATTTCCAATACATAATATTTCCATTTTTACTTCAGGAATGGAAGTGGTATGTGCATCCATTACTGATAATCATTTTCTTCTTCTGTGAAAAAATATATGTTGCCATTGCGAATTACCATCAAAATTTATTTTTATTTCTACAGTAACACATTTCTATTATTAACAAGAATGCTAAAAATGGAATAAGAATGTTGTTATTGATGACAATACATTTAAATCAAATAGAATGTGATATTACTTACTTTGTACATCCCTGTTTAAAATTTTAAGACATTATTCAGTGTACTATTTTGTGGTCATTTTTGCTGTGGACATTCATTTATGGACGTTAAGTAGTGGATATTATGGTGTGGTCTTTGTGTTAATTCAACATTGTCATGTGTACTGATTGATCTAGAACTGTGCCGACCATTGTACTCTGCAAACACAGAAATTTCACAATTAATCAATTAAAAAAATTCAGCTGTGTAAATAATAACTTTTTGCATTATTATTGTGTTCATTATATGTATGAACACTGAAATTGATGTGAATATATTTTATTACCAACTTCAAATTATTGGTTCTATGAATACTTTTCTAAAATCTGCCTGTTTTGATTAAGTAAATTACATTGTGTTACACACCTCTGTGAAGTGTGGTATGTAATAAGAAATTGGAAAGTCAGATATGATTTGTGTTTTGAGGGAACCTAAGGAGTTGAAGCCAAATGTTAGCTTTCCATATGTGATAAAATTAAACATTTGGTCAATTATTTGTCACGTTTTAATGTAACAGAATATTTAATAACCTTGTGGACAGATTTTCTTACTTGTTTCCTTTTATTGAGAACTAAGATATTTCTATTTCATTTTCTTCTTCTAAAATATTCAGTTGTTTCTTGTGAATACTTGAGCAATAATATATTGCTTTAATCAATTATAAAATACTGTGCTGGAAAAATGTTGTTTAGAAAAATTTCATATTGAATGTTACAAAATGTGTTACACTAATATAGCTATTTGCATTTTTTATAACATTCTATTAATATAATTTTGTTAGTTGTAACAGTTTTTCTTTAAATTACAGTAAAACATTTCCTTTTGTTAGAACATTACTTCATTTATATATTAAAACCCTTAAACTTCTATAACTAACAATATAATAAAATATAAATAATTTCATTTTGATGTTATTTTGTTCTCCTTTGAACCATATATTTAATTCTTGAGTTCATATTGCTTTAAAACTTATTTTAGCAATGTTATCAATTTTAACTGTGCATCAAATTGTTTGTAAATAACTCTTATTATTACATGAATCTGTGATTATTAATCAATTCAAGGGTGCTTTTGGCTTCAACTGACACTTTAATACACTTTTGTATAAAATTGGAAAAAATTGTTCAACAAAATGAAATGATGATTGAAAATACTGATTTGAAATGACTGATTTGCATCTGATCCCAAAGAATGATCTATGCATAGAATATGTTTTTGCAAAATATATCAAAAAATTTTTTTCTTCCCGTATGCACAAAATCTTGAAATTATTTGTCTTCTTATTCAAATAATTTGTAAAGTAAAAATATTATTTTGTTATGTGTTGATGTCTAAAGTTTGTGATGTGTTGATATAATAATGATGTTCAATGGTTTGCAAAAATTCAATAATTGATATTCTTGATTATTATTGTTTGCAATAATTTATAAATGTATTCGATATATCATTATTAAGAAGATCATTCTTCTTAACATCTTATATACCCAATTTTTCAATTATATCTCTCACTTTTTATTAATGTAAGGTAAAACATACTCTGTTGAAAATGCAGTTAAGATGCAGAAAGTACCTTTGCAAAATAATCTTGTGTAATATATATTTATGATTTCATTTCTTATTCTGAAATATCTCAGCTTTTAAAACATATTTTCAAATAGACAAGTTCAATTTTTTTAAACTGTTTAAATTTTTTTCTTCACAGATATTCTGTAACTGTTAACAAATTTAAAACATTAAGACTTTGTTAACTTCTTAACAAAGTCTTAATATACAATTAACAATATATTCTAAATTTAAAAAATACTACTTAATTTTATATGTTGTTGAAGTTCTGATCATTAGTCAGTTTGTGCTGATATTTTGTGTGAATATTGTCTTAATATTTTTATATGGTACATTTTATTAATACTAATTATTAATTTTATATCATCATCATCATCATCATCATTTAAAGATATGCCATTTTATGTTGAGAAGAGATAAATGTCACCAATATACTAGCAGATTTTCTCTTTCACTTTTTTCTTTTCTTTTCTTCCAAGTATACTCAACTGTGCTGTTAATAAGTTTATAGAAATTTGCATCTTCACTGCATCACTTTTCACAATTGCATTGTAAAAGAAAAAAATTTATTTTACTTTCCTGACTAAGCAAAGACTTGTTATTGTGAAACACGCTACATTCTCAGACACTTTGTTGTAAATGGATTATCATTTTCATTTTATTACCCACACAGGTATTGGTCATCTCTACGCAATCTAGTGATATCCTTGCTGAATTCAATGCGTTCCATCATCTCACTTCTGTTCCTGCTCTTCCTGTTTATTCTAATATTTGCATTGCTTGGTATGCAACTTTTTGGTGGTCAGTTCAATTTTGAAGATGAAACACCAGCCACAAATTTCAATACATTCCCTATTGCACTACTCACAGTCTTCCAGGTGAATATACACAATTTGAAAATGAGTAATTTTCAATTGGAGTGTGAAATGTTACCTAATTTAAAATTTCATTTCATGTTGGACCAGATCCTGACTGGGGAGGACTGGAATGAAGTGATGTACCAAGGAATTCGATCACAGGGAGGAAACAGTGGTGGCATGATCTATTCCCTTTACTTTATAATTCTGGTGCTATTTGGCAACTACACTCTGCTCAATGTATTCTTGGCCATTGCTGTTGACAACTTGGCCAATGCGCAGGAACTGACAGCTGCTGAAGAGGAACAGGAGGAGGAAGATAAAGAGGTTTTATTTAATTGACATGAATTGAAATAAGAGTAAAGATTTTTATGATGGAAAATGTAGAATGAAAAATTATATGTAATGGACCTAATTTCCACATTTATAAGAAAACAAAAGAGTGCTAAATGTGTTTGTATTTAATGTGGACATGTAATCTTGTTTGTTTGTTTTTTTACCATTTGTGAGGTTATTAATCTTTTTGTTTTTGTCATTTTTACACAAGTTATATCAGATTTGATGTTGAAGATTAAAGCTGAACCAGAAATTAGAAAGCTATTTTCATAGTTTATTTCATGCCAACATTAAAAATTATACAATACTAAAATATTACACTTTAGACCTCAATCTCAATGCTGCCATTCTCCTGACTCAAGGCTAACTCACTAAGGCACCATTCACCTCACTAAGATGTGAAATAGAGCTTCCAAATATGCAAGATTGTTGTAATATTGAAGAATTTTCAGTGTCTTTTCACTTCGTAATTGGAAAGCCTAAAATTTTTTGTTCACATTTTTCCAATATGATTGAGTAATGATTTTTATGATTCCTATCAATTGCAATAATTTAGAAACTGAATTTTCATTAGAATGTAAATTTTGTTTCTCATAAAACTAAGATAAATAAAAATTGGAAGTATATTTACAAAATATTTTTCAACCTTTGAACCAACAAATAGTAATATTTTATCTAATACTAACAGAAACAACAACAGGAGCTGGAGAAAGAGATGGAAGCCCTGCAGCTAATGGGTAGTGGGGGCTCTCCCCCAAAAGTGGAAATCTGTCCTCCTTCCCCAACGCACAACTTGTAAGTAATTGCAAAGTATCATTTTGTTGAGAAAAAAATAGTGTTAAATCCTTTAACGAGTTCTGAATGAAGAAGGAAAAGGGATGTTTATGTACAGAAGTAATGTTGTGAATTATTGGCATTAGAAAATTACATGACCAGCATTATCAGACTAATTTTTTCTCCTATGATTGAGTCTGGGGACCTCTTGAATGTGAGAGATTTACTCATGGAGAAATTGACCTTTAAAAAAGTTAATGTTATAAAGATTATTTCATTGTTATTCAATAAAATATAGTGTTAGCCACAGTTTCTAAATAGTTATGCAACGTAGGATTTAGCTAAAATTAAACTGTGTAACTTTGAGCAAAGAAAAATATAACATGAACATTGCATTTTTTTGTCATTAAAATATAATAAGCTTTCTAGATATCCAATATTCTGAACTTGTTAGATCTCTTTTCATTCTCAAAAAGTGCTCTTGTTGAATATCTGGCATTGTGAAAAATTCAGAAAAACTACATGAATTTAATAGTAGCAAAAATGTAATGTGTAAAAACACATCCCTATCAGGAATTGCTCATCGAATACTAATAAAATTATTTTTTCATTACTGTTATTGTTGTACAATTAAAATTTATGAGCCATTTTTGTTTTATTTATGCTGTAATTCACTGATTATGTAATCATTATTAAACACAAAAATGAAATAAATATGGAGAAGTTACAGCTGACAAAGAGTTATATTGAAAATTCAACACATTTATTGCAGTTTTGAAAAGTTTCTGAGCTGAACATAAAATAACTTAAGAGAATGTGTTTATCTTTACAGTAAAGGAAAAAACAACAATAAGAAGGAGGAAGAAAAGAAAGAGGAAGATGAAGACATGACGGGACCCAAACCAATGTTGCCATATTCGTCCATGTTCATTTTCTCACCAACTAATCCGTAAGAAAAACACAGTATTTTTCAGACCATATTTATCAAATAAGGGAAAGATTTTACATGAAACCTAACACTTAAATTATAAATGGAATTTGTATACTTTCTCTTCTTTTTTGTTTTTCCAGAGTTCGCCGTGGTGCGCATTGGGTTGTTAATATGAAGTATTTTGACTTTTTCATTATGGTAGTTATCAGTCTTAGTAGCATAGCTTTGGCTGCTGAAGACCCTGTAGATGAAGATTCAGAGCGCAACCATATATTGGATTATTTTGATTATGCCTTCACTGGGGTCTTCACCATAGAAATGATACTTAAGGTATGTGAATTGATGAGTTTATTTCAAGTAATGTCATTCTAAATAAAACACTGTGTTAATTAAGAAAACATAAAGGCAATTTTAATGGTACCCATTTATATCAATTTGGAAACTTTTGTTGGTGAATATCAGTTTCAATATTGAAGACATCCTTGTCATTAAATTTATAAAGAACTCATCTAAAAGAGAAGAAACTATTATTAACAACAATAACCTTTATTTAACTTTAACCTAGCCAACATTTATGCTTATTAATTTTGTTGCATTTAACATTCTAAGTATTTCAAACTCCTTCTTCAAATACAAAGAGAAACGAATTTACATGAGAAAGAAAAGGGAAAATAATGACTGATTGTGTGAGTGAGGATCTAGTAGATAAAGTAAAAGTTACTGAATTTTTCAAAGGAAATGAATTAGACACCAGTCACCATCTTCTGAAATAACTGCTGAAAACCTTCCCTCAAGAATGCAAGAAGAAAAGAAAGTTGCGTCAAAATCCAAAATAAAGAAAACAAGAAAGGAACATACATAGAGGCAAGATGAACCAAAGAGAACAAAGTAAAAAACTTTGAAATGATGTGGGAAGAAATTAGTGAATTCTGAATGTAAATTTTCAAAAATTCTACAGCAATCTATCAGTAGACGTGACTGCACAGATTGATGAACTTATTGCAGTGTTTCATATGTTTAACAAAGGCACAAGCTGCCACAATCTGTTTTCTCATGCCATCTGGAGTCATGGACTCTCTCATACTCTGTTTAATTTCATATCACATGTCAGAGATTATAATTTTATTCTCAATATTACTTTCAAAACATTAACAAATTATACATTATTGTATCTCCTTTTTATCATCTATCCATTGCAGGTGAAAAATATATGAATATATTTAAAAAAATTAAAGATGACTGAACTTCTTCAAAACTAAAAGTATTACATACATCTCTAGGGTTTATTACAGGGCAAAAATTATTATATTGTTATCATGGACTATTTAAAAGTTGTGGTGTGATCCATAGATGTTGGGACACTGTATACTGATGATGATAATGATCAACATATTTTATATCAAATAGAATGAAGGGTCAATGAAAACTTAATAGGCAAAGAACATTGTGGCATCTGGGAAGTCTGAAGCACAAAGAACGCCATCTTCATAGTACACATAATTTTAGACTAGAGAAATAAAAGAAATTAGCCAACAAAATGCTTATTAATATTTATAGATGTTGAGAATAGATATTTATTTATTTATAGATGTTGAGAATGTTTACAATATGGTGAATGGGGCTAAAATATAGAAAATAATGGAAGAAGAAAGAGTACCAGGAAAAATTATAAAAGGAATATAAACACTGACACAATCTCAAGATCAAATAATATTTGCAGAATTAGAAAATGAACAAAAAAGTATTACCCATTATTGAAACAAAATCACAAAGATCAATGGCAAAATCTTCTTAAAAAAACAAAAGTGATGTTCATCCAAGGAAAGGACAAAGCTAAGTAGAGATTGTTATTGAAGGACAAATAATAGAACATATAAAAACATTTTAGTGTTTAGATTTGAACAAATTTTTTTAAGATCTGCAATGAAAAATTTTAATTAAATTGCTCAAAAGATAAAAGTAATCATTTATTTCCATTTGATACAACATTTACTTCAATTGTACATATCAGAACTCCCCGGTTATGATAGAATTATTTCCTGTTAAATTGCAATAAAGATTTACATCACCCTTGCAGAGCATGTGCTGTACTTTATTATCTAAAAACCCCTAATCTTCCCAAATTAACTACTTGGACCATAACTGAACTTTATACACTTGATGAAAGTAAAATGATTGGACCCAATGGAGTAGATGTAGAGCAACAAAATGACTGAATAAAAATGATACAAACTTCATTACTAAACTGCAATGTGTGCATTAGGACTTCTATGCATGCATTAAGACATCTATGCGTGCATTAAGACTTCCTCGCATTATTGTAACATTTGCAATTTTCAAAAATTCAGAGGGTGTAACAAAAAGGAAATGTGCAGCACTTTTATAAGCATACTTAGCATACTTTGCTGTTTTGGAGAGAAAATAAAGAAAAAATTTGTAGTCTTTTTGGGAAATTTTTGCTCCTAACATTTCAAGCAAAAAGTACTCATATTAATTGGATTGTTGGTGAAGTAGATACCTTTTTTATTTTAAAAGTACTCATATTTTCAAAAAATTTTACTTTATCTCGTACCTAATATGATATAGTGTCTTAGAGCATTACTGAATAAAATGTAGCAACATAACAATAATTGTGCTATAAAAGTTGCCAACAGACATTACTGAATAGCCCCAACAATGTCCTTGTGTACCCAAGTACATTGCACAAAGTGTGCAAATTAATTAATACGGCAGTAGTGGCTTCTCTAAAACCAATGTAGGCCAATGTAGACCAGAATAACTAGTTGCAAAAAAATGCCTTTTAATATTGACTTACATGTATTTCATTTTGGTAAGTTCTATTTTCCCCGAAAAGCTTCAATTCCCTTCGTATTAAAAAATTATTCTGCAATGAAACTCTGTAAAAAATATAGTCATTAATATCATTCTAATATGAATTTCAGGAAAACTTGATCATGAAGAATATGTTCCAACTATTGAAGAAATTCAATAAAATTTATAATTGTAAGAGGAAGTTATGCTAAAACTTCTCTTTTATTATTACTTTATGTTTTATATCACTTTTATATTAAATCAGGGCACATCAATTATCCTATTGTATCTTTTCTCATCAGTGTAAAAAGTAATGTAATTCAAGCATCATTCATGTTCTTGAGAGAGAAGTTTATAAACTCTTTATTTTCATTCACAGATTCTTGATCTTGGTATCATATTACATCCTGGTTCATATCTTCGGGAATTTTGGAACATAATGGATGCCGTTGTAGTCATCTGTGCTGCTGTTTCTTTTGCCTTCGATATGACGTAAGGATTCAGTTATTCTAAGTAATGCTCCTTAATCCATTCTGTATCTTTAAATGTGTATCTGCTGTTGTTATTTTATTAAAAATATATTTTGCTTTTGTTTCTGTGTTATAGAGGAAGTAAAGCAGGGCAGAATCTGTCCACAATTAAATCTCTGCGAGTGTTGCGAGTGTTGAGGCCCCTCAAAACCATCAAGCGTGTACCAAAATTAAAGGCTGTGTTTGATTGTGTTGTCAACTCGCTCAAGAATGTCATCAATATTCTCATAGTGTACATTCTGTTTCAATTTATTTTTGCTGTAATTGCAGTCCAGTTATTTAATGGGAAATTTTTCTTCTGTAATGACGAAAGTCGGTTCACCAAAGAGGATTGCCAGTAAGCTTCTTTTATTTCTCCTGAAATTTTAACTTTGTTAGTTTCATTAGTCTAAGTAAAATTAGTGCCCCTAATTCTTTTGTCAATATTATGATAATGCTTTCCTATTTTGAAATATCTCTGAGTGGTTCATGTGTTCAGGCCCTATTTATTTCCTATTTATATTTTTGGCAGTGCCAGAGGTCTGCAAATCTATTATTCAAATGAAATACAAGCTATAAATTTAATGTTCTCTGTAATGTCTTCTTTGAACTCTGTCACAACAAGAGAACATACAAGTTTGTGGTATATAGCTTTTCTTGAAGAAAGCTTTAATTGCTAATATGTAATGTTATTATCTTCTCTTGAGAGTAATGTGTTGACCCAAATGCAGCATAACCTGTGATAAGACAATAAAAGGCTATTTTTGATATGATATTGCAGTTAATTAATTTAGTATTCTTAGTTGAGTAGTACAAAAATACAAATTGGGAATTACTATTTTCAAAAGGATTTACGTCTTTTACTCATTAATCTTTTCACTGTTGTCAAATGCTCTTACATTAAATAATTATAATGGAGAAAGTTATTTTTCAATTTTTTGCAGGGGTCAATATTTTGTTTATAATGGAGATGATGTTCCTGAGGCAAAAGAGAGAAAATGGGACACTCAATCATTCCATTATGACAATGTAATGGCAGCAATGTTAACACTCTTTGCTGTTCAAACAGGAGAAGGTTGGCCGCAGTAAGTTCACTTTCCAATACACGTCTAAACTCTTTTACTAAAACTTTATCTTACATTATGAGAATATTACCCAAGGTTTCTAGGTGATATATTAATATTTACAAGAAGTATTATTTTCTTGTTTCCAATGATGGCTTACAATGAAATCGCTGCTGATGCTACAATATAGCAGAGACTTGTTCATATTATTTTCTAACAGTTATGTAAATTTTAAAATACAGTCACGTATGTTTTAACTTATATTCTTATATTTCAGTCTTCTATAGCAAAACTATCTTTAACAATACTTGAATGGTAGCATATTATGTCCATTTCCTAACATCTTCTAAACTTACATCATAAATAAAATTGACATTTTATTGCTAAATCAATGGGCAGTTGTCCCTTTTTCTCAATCCAGAATCATTACCACATTAAACATAGAAATAATGTCCAAAGGTGTATTCAACTTTAAAAACTTCAGCTTATGTACCAACACATCAACATTTTCTTTAAAACCCACAACTGAACACAAAATCTGTAAACCACAGTAATTTTAATGAAACAGTGATTTTCTTCCTGTTGTATTAACAAAAATATTTTTGATATTTTTCAATAATTTCTTAATTTTTTTGAATCTTCTAATAGTTCAATCAAAATATCAATTGGAATTCAGAAGAGCACACACTTTTTTCACATGTTAATTGTTAGGGAATTGTTTGGTGTTAATGAGAAAATTGAGTAGTTTTGAAATGGCACATGCTTGAAAACTTTTGAGAAAGTTCATAAGGAGTCATTTGCAGCATTCACACGCAATGCATTAAATCACAAATACATCTGTAATTGAAATATATTTACTTTCTGATATGCTAGGGAGGTTCCAAAATATGCTGCCTTATGTGCAATTTTTGAAAATTTTTGAATCTCCTTATAGTTCAATCAAATTAAGACAATTGAAAAAATAAACAAACATGATTCCATAAACTCTGACATATAGTAACTTTGTCACCTAAGTTACGGTACCTCAAGAGACAAGTTCTTGGAGTTGAGATTTTGTGAACTTAAGGTCAGGTTTTGTTTCTGTGCTTTACCCAGGCATTTTTAAAAAACTTTTTTCAAAAGATTCTAAAATAGTTATTAAAAATGACCAAGGCACAACACAGCAGATAAAGACCAACAAAGGTCTAAGACAAGGCAGCACACTGCCAGCACTACTCTTTAACTTTTACTTGAATCACATGACAAAAACATGGAAACAGAAAACTCAAACAGAAATAAAGATAACAGACAACCAGAAATTAGTGACAATATTATTCACAGATGACCAAGTTATAATAACAGACTCAGAAAACACACTGCAGAAAGCAACCTTCAAATTAAATAAAATAAGCCAAATGAAAATATCAAGCCAGAAATCTAAAACACTAGCCTCCTATGGCAAAGAGAATCTTAGAGCCAAAATAGTAATATAAAATTCAATATGAAATTCCACTTTCAAATAACTCAGAAATTCAATTGGATTGAACCATGATTGGAGAAGAATATAGAAGAAAAAATACAAAAATATAATAGAAACAATGGAATAATAAAGAGACATTTTGGACATATGAGAAGAAAAAAAAAAGATGAGAATCCATAATATTACAACAAAACTAATGTTGAAGTATGGTTCAGAAATGTGTATAATAGACATAAAGGAAACCAGAAGCATAGTAGTAGGTTAGATGAAGTTTCTAAGGGCAGTGTTAGTGACAAGAAGGGACAAAATTCGAAATGAAACAATTAGGAAAGAAAACAGGAAACTTAGCAAAAGAAATAAAAAATTACCAAAGTGAATGGAGAAAACACATGAAAAGAATGGACAAATAACATCTACCGCGGATGACATTAAATTATTGACCAAAAGGCAAGAGGGATAGAAGCAGACTGATAAGAAGATGGCACCAGCAGGAACATTTCACATCAGAAGGAATACTCCTTTACTACCTCTAACAGGACAGGAGCACCGCTTCTAAACTGAGGGTGTTGATGATGAAAATCCCCCCCCCCCAAGTAAAATGCACTTATAAATATAGTATTAGTTTGATTTTCATCAAAACATGTGTTCTTTTGAAATCTGCAAATTAAAATCACACATTCTTCCTTGCTGAAGAGCTTTCATGAAATTGCTGAAAAATTAATAGAATACAATTTGCAACATTATAATATTAACTATTCATTACAGATAAAACAAGAAAGTATGTGCTTTTTAGCACCACTAGTTTTTCTAAATACACTGTTTTTATGTTCATACAGTCTTCATGTTCTTTACAATATTTCATTTATGCTTGAATACATAAGTATACAATTGCCATCTCTGTGACAATATTATAACATTTATTTAAAAAATTATGAAAACTTAATGAAATGTATTCAAATACATAAATAATTATCAACATTTTTAGGCTGTTAAGACTACTTCCCTATATTTGGCATCAATACTTAGGAAAAATAAATATAGGCATTCAAACATATAATTTTTCTATATAATCACGAAAAATATCAGAATGAGTAACTTTAAAAATCTGTAGGGGAAAAAATGTGTCTCTCATTTTTGTTTTTTTGGCATGTTTGTCAGAAAAAATAGATAAGACATGTTCTTTAAAAACATTAACTAATCAATTAGATACATTTTTTGCATTATCCTTCAAAATTATAACATTTTTTATCAGTGAACAAGAACAAGTATGCTTAATTTCTTTTTTCTTCTTTCAGAATTCTTCAAAACTCTATGGCTACAACCCAAGACAACAGGGGTCCCATTCAAAATTATCGCATAGAAATGTCTATCTTCTATATTGTTTATTTTGTAGTATTCCCTTTCTTCTTTGTAAATATTTTCGTGGCTTTGATAATCATCACATTTCAAGAACAGGGTGAAGCAGAATTGCAGGATGGTGAAATAGATAAAAATCAGGTAAATTATTATACCTTAATCATCTTATTATATAAAATTGGATGTGTATATGTGTGTTCCACAACAGTTTTTGTGCCACTGGACTGATTTTTCACAAACTTTGCCAGAAGTTTTAAGTAATCGAAAAACTAGGTAGGGAGATATTTCTCCATATTTGGAAATATGTCTCCATATTTGGAAATATTTCTCCATATTTGGTTACCTCCCGAAAGTTGTATTTACTGCATTGAAGCAGCATTGTGGGCAAAGTGGATCAAGGCTGATCAGAGCCAAGCGGGGCAGTAGAAAGGATGCAGGCAGAACAGTTGAGTGGAGCTTTTCAATAGATTATTGTGATGTATAAATACCTGGACTATGATGGATAATCAACAATTTTTTATATATTTATGTCTTTTGTGAAAAATGTACCAGTCATTAAGTATAAAACAATTAAATTCCTAAGAGAACTATTCTTCAAAAACTTTATCTTTGGTGTTTGCAATGAAATTTTCATTCATTTCACTTAAAAATATTTTCTTGAGGCTTTAGATGAGGTTTATTTAAAGTATTGTGAAGATAATTATACATTAAAATAATGTGTCAGAGTGCTCTAAACAGTTAATGTTATATTTTTGCTAGTATTAATGCTGATAGTATGCTTTGATTCTTAAAATCATCATGTCTGCAGCGTTTCCTCAAAACTAGTTAATTTTTTTGTTCACACTATAATAAACACATACTGGATTGTTCTCTAAAGCCTAAACTCTTGGTAGAATGAATCACTTTCAATCATTAGTGTTCCTTTCTTTAGAAAAACTGCCCCTGAGCACAAAACATTTCTAGTACAATCATCTTACAATGTAATGAAACTCCAACAATTAAGATTCCTACAAGGAATTGAACACTAAACCACTAGCACTCTAAATGAGTTATTAAGGCACTTTATTCAGGCAGAAATTCAATGAATGAATTCATAAAAAAGTTTCCAAAGTAAAAATTTCATGACTCGCAGAGTAGTATATCAAAGAATATACCAATACTTAAATGTTCACAGAGAGACACACACACACACAAACATGCATGTTCACACACAATGATCTTTGTGTCTCTTGAGTCAAAAAAGTAGTATTCTATTGCTTATTAAAATATTAGATAATGACTTATACAGGCAGGACAATAATGTAAAATCAATATATTGCAGACAGGTTTACAATATACACAAATTGCCAAATGCACATTGTGACTTCAGTTTTTAAACAAAAATTAATCTAAAATGTCTCGGCATCTAATACTGATATGTTTTATTTCAAACTTTGAAACTGAACTGTTCAAACTGTTCAAAAGGTGTCAAATTGCTATAATGCTATTGTGAAAAACTATGCTCCTACTTCTTCTTCTTCTTCTTCTTCTTCTTCTTCTTCTTCTTCTTCTTCTTCTTCTTCTTCTTCGTCATCGACTTCGTCTTCGACTTCGACTTCGACTTCGACTTCGACTTCGTCTTCGTCTTCGTCTTCGTCTTCGTCTTCGTCTTCGTCTTCGTCTTCGTCTTCGTCATCTTCTTCTTCTTCTTCTTCTTCTTCTTCTTCTTCTTCTTCTTCTTCTTCTTCTTCTTCTTCTTCGTCGTCGTCGTCGTCGTCGTCTTCGGCGTCTTCGTCGTTTTCGTCGTCTTTGTCGTCTTCGTTTTCTTCTTCGTAGTCTTCTTCGTCGTCTTTTTCGTCTTCGTCTTCGTCGTCTTCTTCGTCTTCGTCGTCTTCTTCGTTGTCTTTTTCGTCTTCTTCTTGTCTTCATCTTCTTCATATTCTTCTTTGTCTTCTTCGTCTTCTTCTTCTACTTCTTCTTTGGCTTCATCTTCTTCTTCGTCTTCTACTTCTTCTTTGTCTTCATCTTCTTCTTCGTCGTCGTTTTCGTCTTCGTCTTCTCCTCCTTCTTTGTCTTCGTCTTTGTCGTCTTCATCTTCTTCTTCGTCTTCGTCTTCTTCGTCTTCGTCGTCTTCTTCGTCTTTGTCGTCTTTGTTTTCTTCTTCATCTTCTTCGTCGTCTTTTTCGTCTTCATCTTCTTGTCTTCTTCTTCATCTTCATCTTCGTCGTCTTGGTCGTCTTTTTCGTCTTCGTCTTTTCCTTCTTCTTTGTCTTCTTCGTCGTCTTTGTCGTCATCGTCTTCTTCGTCTTCGTCTTCTTCGTCTTCGTCTTCTTCGTCGTCTTCTTCGTCTTCGTCTTCTTCTTCGTCTTTGTCGTCTTTGTTGTCTTCGTTTTCTTCGTCTCGTTCGTGTCCGTATTCGTTTTCTTCTTCTTCTTCTTCTTCTTCTTCTTCTTCTTCTTCTTCTTCTTCTTCTTCTTTTTCTTTTTCTTTTTCTTTTTCTTTTTCTTCTTCTTCTTCTTCTTCTTCTTCTTCGTCTTCGTCTTCTTCTTTGTCGTCTTCGTTTTCTTCGTCTTTGTCTTCTTCTTCTTCGTTTTCTTCTTCTTCTTCTTCCTTTTTCTTCTTCTTCTTTTTCATCTTCTTTTTCTTTTTCATCTTCTTTTTCTTTTTCTTCTTCTTCTTCTTCTCCTCCTTCTCCTTCTCCTTCTTCCTTTTTTCTTTTTTGTTTACTCCCATTCACATTCTTCTGACAGTAATCCATGAGTGTTCAGTCTTAAATGTCAGGAAAATTACTTCACAAAAATACTGTTTTAAATTGGATGTTGAATGGATTTCTTTTTATGGGATTATTCAACACATACATGGATTTTGAATTATTATAATTATGAAATTGCAGCATTTCACCCTGTAAACTTTATAATTGATTTTTTTCTTGCTTTCACCTCTTTTCTATTTATTGTTGTTCATCAAAATCATCTTGCCTTTGAAAATAACATGATAATATATTGGTATTATTTTCAGAAATCCTGCATTGATTTTACAATAGGAGCTCGGCCTTTGGAAAGGTATATGCCTAACAAGAGAAATGGATTTAAGTACAAGATCTGGCGTATAGTTGTATCTACACCTTTTGAATATTTCATAATGATCCTCATTGTGTTCAATACTCTGCTGTTGATGATGAAGGTATGTGCCTTATCTCATTATTCTCAGATAGAAGAGTTAGTACTCAAGATTTAATTGAAGAATGAAGATTATTTAATTTTTCATTTATTAAACAATCAAATGTCTTTTATTTATGAATTATTTTATATAATGAATTATTTACTTTAGTGAACAAGAAAATATATATAAATATAGATTTTTAATTTCTGTTGTTTACTTATCAATGTCTGCCTTTTTTTCAAAGTGATTGCTTTTTATTTGTAGTTTCATTTTCAGATGTTAGTCATACATTAAGATTTATAGTATAGATAATTTGGAAGCAAGGTAATCTCTTTTAAATATAAAATATCAAGTTCATTGAAATAAACATGATATAAATATTTATTTTGTTACTAAGTATATATCCAATTGAAAAAAATGTTTGTTTAAGATCTAAGAGAATTATCCAACTAATTGGGAATATAAAATGTTAACCTTGCAGTTTTTGGTGAAGAAAAGAGAAAGGGGTTGTGGACTTACCAATTTACTTAATTTCACTGTATTGACAGTCAGTAGATAGATTCTTAAATAATTCTTGTCTATATCTATTGCTTTCTTTGAAGTTCATTCAAAGTAATGGGAAATACGTATGACCAAAGTTAGAATTAGAGAGTTTCTTCTTCAAATAAAACTAAAGAGAGAAGAAAAGTACAATTCAAGAATTTATTTCAGGCTTGGATATTAGATTATTTACAAAAGTTCTTATCAACTTACATTTATATTTGCATTTGGTATCTGCTTGTCATTAAATATAAACTATTTAACTAAAATTATTGGTTTTACACAAATTATGGATTAGGAACTTTTAGCAAACTACCTTTTTATTAACTAAGAAATCTTATAAAAATTATTTATTTTTTGTAAGAAAATATTTATGAAATGAAAAATAGTATATCTCAAAAAATGAAATATTGATAGTTATTGGGATCAATTTTTCCGTATAAAGAAAAGCAAACAATATTGGCTCCGAGAAACCTCATAAACCGCAACTTTCATAAAACAATGGTTTATCAAATGTTTCCTTGTGATAACTATTTTCATCTTGTTGTAAAGAGCATTATTTCCATGGAAAGCTATTGAAAAAATATGTTGTAGAAGTGTCCGAGTCTACTTACTATCATTTTTAAATCATTTTTGATGATGTACGAAAATGATATGCAAAAGAATGCCTTGAGAGTTTACTTAAAAGAATATTTCATTAGTTCATTTTTAATAAATTTCTATAATGTAATCATACACCATTTTTAAATAGTAAGTATATTTTGAAAAATGAATTTATTGACATTATGATTAACTAGGATATTAATTTATTAACTGATACTTTTCTGAGGAATTCGAGGAAACAGTATTCAAAGATGAAACTCAAGTTTTCTGTATCCAAGATTATCCCACTGGTTTGAGTGAAATATGAATGTACAAAGAAAGAGTAATTGCTATCAGAGAGATTGGAAAATGTGAAATAAAAAGTTATATAATTCAACATAACATACCACAAAACGAAAAAGACATTAAAGAGGGGAAAACAAAAATCACAATTGTAGAAAGGTCTTAACAAAGGAATGTAATAATACATAGATATGTAAAATAAAATGAGCTTTGAACAGCAGTTAAGAACTTGAAGAACTAAGCTTATAGTATTTTTAACAAAAATATTCTTCATATCAGTCATTGAAAAATTGTAATTTTTTATCATTAAAGTTTGATCTCATTTCTATAAATAAGGAATAATTTCTGATCATCTTTAAGATATAGTAAAGTCATAGTGAAAATCAATAGTTAGAAGTTTTGAGTTTGAAAGATACAGTATTAATTGTTTGCAGTGATATTAAATGTTGAATTAGTTCATCAAGGGAATGCCAGTTACAGATTTATTATTCGTAGACTTGTAAGTTAAATGAGTTTTAATAAAATATCCTATAGAGTCTCTTAATTACAAGTTTTTGATTTGTTTTAGTAAATTATAAAATAATTGTGTAAATCCCAACTAAAACATTTGTGAAGATTCCAATTACTTTACACAAATTTAAGATCTTGTTTTTTTTCCTTTTTTCTTTTTTCTCTTTGAAAATGATTAAAAAACTGTCATTGTGCTCACATTACATAGTTAATAAATACGAAGACATTCTTTTTAAGAACATATTTTAGATTAAAAACCTTTTACAAGGGGAATGGCCAAAATCTAATAAATGATGTTCCAAGTTGATTGCAGCAAGTAAATATAAAAGATTTCTATTAAAGAAGAAAAAATCATCTTTAAATCAGTTCTCAAAGGATCTGTGTACTAAACAAACAGATTTTTTGATTTAACCTTCATGGTCCTTAACAGATCCTAAACCATCTTAGTTTGTTATTCAATACTTGCTACCACTTATGTGCGTACTAAAATATGTCTTCTTGCTGAGGTAGTGGTCTAGGGGAAAAAATTTCTCAATTCAGAAATATTTTATGCATTTCAAACTTTTTATCTTAGAGAATTAAAAAATGTCATTTACCCAAAATTCAGAAGCATTTTTTAAAATTCAATTTTCTGTCAAAATTAAATACAAATAATGGAAAGTTTTTGGACATAAAATATTAAACATACATGCTGAATTATATTGAAAATAATTACAGAGTGTACATATTTGTATATAATTTACTAATTTTCAAGGGACATTTTCATTGAGAAATGGAATTGGAGACAAATTTCAATACATGTCTTTATAAAAGACACTTATTTTAATTAAAATTGATGTTTCATTTAAGAATCACTCTGTTATTATCAACAAACATAATAAATAAAATCATTTTCAACTGATTTGATATTTTAATAATTGTATCAGCATTTTTATGAGCACTGATTACATTTTTAATTCACCATTAAGTAACTTGAAATGTATCAAGTTGTAAAATGCATTCCATTTGGGCATGTTATTTTCTTAAAAAAACATCTACTGAAAATGAGAGATGATTCAGTCAATCAAAACTCATTTTCAGTTGATTTAGAAATTATAGTTTTAAGAAAAAGGATAATTTACATTCTATGTTTTATTTTAGGTCCCAGGGTATTTGTCAAATTGAAAATGTTTATTTAATTATATTTTTCTTCCAGGTACAAATCAAGCAGCGTTACATTGCCTAATTTAAATTAAATTTTGTTTATTTATTTGTTTGATTGGGACATTCATGACTAATGCAACAAATTTCCAAGCATTAACAATAATAATAAAAATGGGTTAAATACATATTAGTCATGGAAGTCTCATTTTTGGCTCTAAATAATAATTACCTTCAAAGATGTTTGAAAGAAGCATGACCTTATAGTTGCATTATTGCAGATGAATTGGAATATTTTTAAATGGCAAATGCATGGAGTTTTTTATTATTTGTTTCGATAATAACAAAATATTATCATTGGAAAATCATTGATTCATTTTATTGGCAATTAATAAAATTAAAATTATGCAAATATTTTATATCCAGATTACAAAATCTGAAAATAGTTTTGACTTTATTTCTGGTTTTCTGGATCTTTTAAAAAAGTTTAACAAAGAAGTGTTGTTTGAAGCTAACACAGCAACTTTGAACAGGATGTTGAAATGAGTAAATAATAATTTATATCTGAGTATAAATGAAAATTCTTTAAAATTTTTAATTTATTGAATAGAAATAATTGAAGTGTAACTGGAAATACCTTTAATTGAGCTTTTAAAGAAATAAATTTGAAATGCTAATGAAATGATTCTTTGTATCAGTAGCCATTGTGCATGAGCATGATGATACATTTATATTTTTCATTGATATCTTTGAATTATAAATATATTTAAAAGATAATTGAAATGAAGAAAGTTAAAAATTATTTTCAAAATACATCAAATGTTTATTGAATATATTGAATATATATATATTCTTCTAGTTATGTATTTGTCTTCTGTCATTGCTTTGTGCTGTTTGAAATTTGAAATGTTTTAGTTTTAATAATGTTAAATAAATAGTTGAAAATGTAAATACTTCAAAATTATTTAATAAATAATTGGTAAAAATGGTTAAAAAATGTGTTCTTTCAAGAAGGCGAATGGCATTTTATTACAAACATCATTCCAAAATTAGCAATGACAAAATTCAAATTAGGTGTTAAAATACATTAACTGTTGTTTTAATGAAAATGCCAGTTCACGGTAAATATGCATTGTACACATATTTGCACCTTGATTCAACTATTCTTGCAAAACTAACTTCTACATTCTATCACACAAGTTATTATTGTGCATCATTTTCTTGAATGTGTTGTAAAAATACTCTCATGATGAGCAATTTTTTGTTTGTTTGTGCTAATGATAACCATAAATGTTTTTGTTGAGTTTAAGCGTGCTGTATTAAATAATGATACATGGAATGAGAATAACCATGCATGACCATGCATGTTGTATAATGATGCGTGTGTGGAAACTAATTAATGTTCTGAATTAATTTGACATTAAATGTTTTCAAATATTTGTGTATATTTCAATACCTGTTAATGGATCATAAATCTGTGTGGTTTCTCATGCAAACTTCAGATGTGATGTTTAGTTATGTGTTATTCTCTGGAATGCATATGTGATTGCATGAACTGTTTAAGCACTGGTATGGAACTGCATGAGGAATGAATCATGAGTCGTGAAGCATGAGCATAAGAATGCATGTTCATAAATCATATTGTGTCCATTGAAGAGACTGCTTAGTATTCCTTTCTCTATCTTGCTTCTTTTCCTTGTCCATCCACACCTGTTGTAGGAAGGAAATGAAATATTTCAACTATGCAGTTATGTTGTATACAATGACAAAATGGATCCTAACAGTGTTTTAAAGAGAGAATGTTTTTGCTTGAATTGCTCAATGCATGAATTGTATATATTATTATGCGTCACAACAGGTTTTTTTTAAACTTATATTATTCAGTCATAGATAGCCACATGACAAATAATGAATTATTTGCATGAAATCTTTATTAAAACCAGGAA